GAAAAAAAAAAACGGGCTGATCACAACAACAGATTGTGGTTGTCCTGAAAAGGAACATTATGTAGAGGCGTTATGACCTGGTGTTTGTTTGGCTTTTTCCGGCGGCTTACAGATCAGCAACCAAGCAGCAACAGGGCACCAGCACAGCGACCAGCACGAGGCAAACCAAGCACCAGCAACAGTCAGCTAGTACCCGTCGATATCATCGCAGAGAGATCTGATCACACCAGAACCAAAAACCACAATCGCCGCAGCACAACAAGGAAGCAATCAACCGTAATATCAGGTGTGACTACACACCACAAATAAAAGGAAACCACATAAGACAGCTAAGGACCCTTCTTCGATATAGCAGGCCTCCGGGCGGCTGAAAGAGGATCAAATTTGGAATTTTTGTTGGACAAATTGGAATTGGAATTGGAAAGCCTCGCCCACGTGATAGACAGAAACCAGGACATTATCGATGCAAGGTCGAGAGTCGACCAAGTACATCCGTGACGCATAAATTGACACTATGATAATATACACAGTCGGCTCGAAAACCAGCACGGGAGAAGTTGGGGCAGGTGTTTACATACCGGCCTGGAAGACCACACATGAACACCGACTCACTAACGATATGACAGTCTGCTCAGCTGAGCTGGTAGGGATTCTGAAAGCACTGGAGCTAGCCTGCGAACGGCCCCCCCCCCCCCCCCCCCCCCCCCCATAAAACTCCTCGTCCTTTATGTCTCACTATCAGCAGTACAAGCCCTGAGAGACTTGTCGAAAGTGAGCCGGCAAGACATCAAAGAAGAAATCCTGACAATCTCCACCCGACTCAGAAGCCTGGGATGCCAAACTACCATTGGTTGGATCCCAGCGCACATAGGCATTGAAGGCAATGAAGCAGCAGACAGAGCGGCGAAAAGGGGGCACTTCTAGCCACAACACAGTATTCGCGGGACTGGGCAAAACTGAATTGAAAGCAATTATCAAAAGCAAACTATGCAGAGAATGGTCCCAGCAGTGGTCGACCAGCGACAAAGGCAGAGCTGCCTACAAACTACTTAACAAACCCAGTCCCAAAAATCAAGTGACTAAACTGACCAAAATCCCGGCCATTAGAAATCTGTGGAAGATGCGACTAGGGTGCTGGCCGGACCGATTCCGCAGGGCCCCTAACTCCACGGAGTACTTCTTACTAAACTGTAAGCACCACGAAACAGAGAGACAAGAGCTCGTGCTGCACTTCAGAGCCACAAACCAACCTATGACAATTGAAAACTGCCTCAGCGTAAGCTGTGACGACAAGGTCCAGCGACTTGTGAAGCAGTTCATATCCAGAACCGGGAAAGCGACCTGAGAGCTCCCCTCGTCTTGATGTGACTGACCAGATCCAGCGAGTACCAGCAACCTCATCAGAGGCAACTTTACCTCTCACTCACTCTTCCGACCTCACTGTATGTCCTCTCAAAAGCATTCCGCTACTCTGCCTGTACTATTTCCACTCCATCTCTACCACAGGCGAATTACTCTGTTAGTGTATTTTCAGAAAGATTAAAACGACAGAACCCACCAAAGGCCTCCCGACGCTCCGAGGCAAACCAGCCAAAAGGGCATAGCACAAGAAGGGGACCAGCACTCGTGGATTTCAGTCTGTTATGCATTTAATTTTGTAAACTCCCCCGCCCCTCCCACGTATGTGTGCAGCCGTTAAATATGTAGTGGAGGTAACAAAAGTTTGCAAAAAAATTAGAACGCCCGAAGGTGCCAAGATATTTTATAGTTAGGTCGGAAGATGGAGAGAGACAGGTAGCTTGCTAGGTTGAGGAAGAGGTCCTTGGTGAGTTGAGTCCTGCGCTCTGCCTGCTCTGTCTGGGCTGATCTGAAAAAATTCACACGTGGGATGAACGTTTTGAAGACTTTCCCCCTTCCGTTGAAACTTATGTTTTGCGGGGAGGTTCGTGCCGCCTATGGTCACTTTTACTTTTGTGGTAGGTTCTCCGTTTCCTTTGTTGATTCTATCAAGCTACTTGGATTATCTCAATGTTCGGATTTTTCTTGCCTCAACATCTCGATGATTTTAGCATATTCGAACTTTGGGTTAACGCCCTTGATGACGAAGACAGCTGTTTCTCTCATCAGTTCTATTGCGATTTTGACGCCGCTCATGCATCTGACTATTGTCTTTTCTGTGGACTTTGTCAAGTCTTTCGTGGCTGCGGTGCAGGTTACAATTGCTATAAGGAAAATGTGTTGCATAATGATTTTGGCTATCGTTTTACGGCCTGTTTTCAAACCACTGTCCAGTATTTCTTTAGCCTCATTCTCATTCACCTTAAGGATGGACAACTGTGAACCTTCTACTTGTGTTATTTTTAATCTGATGGTGTTATTCCTGACCGGTGTTTGCTCAGGTCGAGCCGTGGTTTTAGTGATACTGTCCAGGCCATGGGGAAAAGGGGGGGGGGGGAATTTCCCTTCGCCTTTTATGTTGAGTCGGTTTTCTAGGAAGCGGCCGGGGTGATGCCTTTGCTTGGGGCATTGTTCCGGCCACTCCTCCGTCCGGTGTGTGCCTATGATCCTAACGTATGGCCACTCCTGCCGACACTATGTCGGCAAAGCTCGACTTTTGGTCCTCCTTTTTAGGAGCGGCTACCATTGTAGCACAGGAAGAGCGGCACCAAGCTCAGGTGAGTCTGCTGTTTTTCCTTTCTTAGTTGGGAGACCCTTCCTCGTGGCCCCCTCTGGTACCTTTCATGGTTCTTTTGATTCGGCTCTCGACTGGGCCTCGTGCTACAATGCATAGTAGTCTGGAGATGGTCTAATCGAAGATTGTTTTTTAGAGGTTAAACGCACGCCCTATGTCACTGTTTAAAGTGTTAATGAGGTAGTTTATATTTACCTAGAGCATTGTTCCTTCCTCTAGTGATTCTTAGCTAGGTATTTTTCTATATACCGAGGTTTCTGTGATGTCCTTGGAAATAAAACACTAGTCGCCTGTGAAGATCGTATTGCTGGCAGCTAACTAAGCCTCAACGATCACCGAACCAGTTCAAAGCAATCAATGCCTTTCCTCGGGTAGCCAGCCGGACAGATCAAGCCGTTTAGGGATGTAGCGATCTATATCCTGACTTTAGCTAACCGATTCTGACAGATCAAGCCGAAAAGATCAAGCGGCCGAGCTGGTTGGAAAACAAGCCCTGCGAGACGATGACAGTGGACTTATGGCAACGCACTCTCGACACTACTGGCTGTGATGAAACGAACTGTTACTGTTTTTCAGATAAATCTCAAACTCAATGGCAAGCTAAGATTATCGATAATCGGGCGAGTTATCAAGCGAGACGTGGCGGGTTGTTCACGTGGAGACAGTCAGCGCAAGAATGTGTTCTGACGCCAGTTCGGTGTGCGACTTTTTAATGGTGTGTTGGTCAAGATGGCTTTCTTCCAGGCCAGCTGTTCCTTCTTCCGACTAGGGCAACCTAGGTATTTCGCACTGTGGTTGCCCTTACAGTTTGCGCACTTCCTGTCACTGTTGGGAGCCTTGTATTCATTGTCTGCCTTTGCCTTCTGGTACTCGCGGATCAGGTTTGGACCGCTCCAAAAAGATCATGCTAGATCGCGTTGGCAATAATTAAAAAAAAAAGGAACAGTCCGTGATAAAGCAGGCATTAAGGCGGCTAAAAAAGGACGGCTCTCCTCCGAACTTCTATCCCCGCATTATGGAGGCAACAAATATCCGTACAGGGCTCAGTTCTATTAAAAATATGCCGGCTCCGTAAAATGAAACAAATGCTCTAACAGGGTCTCAGCGATATGTTACTTGCGGACCTGTTTCTGTGACTATGCCTCACCGCCGACCGTATGGCTGGGACTCACGAGCAGCAGCTGTCGCATCTCTTGCAACTTCCTCCAATTAATTTGCTCCTGAGTCCAAGGCACCTAGTTTAGTCCCCCATCCGCGCCGCGCGTAGCGGCGCGAGGATACTATCGGTGGTGAGTGTAACCGCGCTTTGCGCATGCCGACAAGTTTGAGGACAACAACAATGCTAATCTGCGTCGGCGCACGTGGACTCCCCGACATGTGGCTTTTATCGTCAGTAATATTGCGTGTCTCGAAATTGTACATGGTGGCTAGTATCGTCTGCAGAAACGCTCGAAAGTGTCAACGGTCGCTATTATCGTCTGCTACTATCGTCTGCAGAGTTGCGTCTCTTGAAATTGTCAGGTAATCCTAGTTTTGCCCCGATTCGTTCGTCGTCGGAAGTTGGCAAAATTTTAATAGAACTGAGCCCCGTACGGATATTTGTTGCCGCCATAATGCGGGGGTAAAAGTTCGGAGGAGAGCCAAAAGGACTAACCTTGGAATTTTTGCGAGATTTTATACGATATTCTACGACCCTTGAACTTTTTTCCTAGAAAATGGGGAGGGGTGAGAGCCCGCAAATGGGTTGTTTGTGTCAGCGCCTCTGCTGGCAAATGCGCATACATAAGAAAACAATAACATAAATGAAGCCCCCCGTGTGGGTTCCGGGGCCCCATTGTGGGGAAAACAAGAATAGACCCACTGCCTCCCCAAAAGGATGTCGTAAGAGTCGACTAACTGGGAAGCTTTCTTTGAAGTCTTAGTGCATCTGCCGGAGAGGCAAGGAACCAACAGTCTGTATTCAAGAGAATGAGATCTGTAAAACTGATGCACACGCAACACTTAGGTTTTGGAGCAGGTAGAATTTAGTGATTCATTAGTACAGCTTGAGCCAATCTGTACGGCACTTGATGATTCTGCAACAGGAAATACTGGTAACCTCTTCTGCTTCCGCTAAAACGAGCCAATGGAAAGGTCCCATAATCTTTCCTTCCCGCAAAAACGGAGGCATTTCTTTCTCTTGTTGGCGCGATTTTTCAGTCATCACTCAGGGCTTTCGGGCATCGGTTGTTTTAAAGTTCCACCTGTACATTAAAGTTTTTTTTCCTATCCCGTTAGTACGTTTGTTTTTCAGAAATAACCAGTAAACATGTTTGAAGCTCGTCTTGCTCAGGGATCTATGTGGAAGAAAATTTTAGAGTCCATCAAAGATTTGCTGAACGAAGCCATTTTTGATTGTTCAAGTACAGGCATCACTTTGCAGGCAATGGACAGCTCTCATGTGAGCTTGGTTTCGCTGAGCATGAAATCTGATGGCTTTGAAACATATCGATGTGACAGGAATCTGTCGATGGGCATTCATTTACCAAGGTGAGTTGCTCTTCGTCAAATTTATTATTAAATTTATTGAATATTTTTTAGAGAACGTGGTGTCGTAGTAAAATAAGAATGGCGGTATTCTTAAACGACCTAAACTGTTAGTAACGAACGTAGTTAAGTTAGTAAACTGCTACAGTTAAATGAATTTTATTAACTATAATGAAATAAAAATCATCGTTACAGTCAGTGAAGTTTTATTTTTTAGAATTTTACTTATGAAGTCATCACGGCTATATGGCTATATGATGGAAAGAGCTTCCAATGCAATATCTCAGTGAAAGTGAAGTGTCACTGAAATTCAAATTGTGTGTCTACAAGCTTGAACAGTACTGAAAGTTATCACAGCCTCTTTTACTATCGTAGTTTTAGACATGACATTGCAAGGCAGTGGTTGGTGTCACTACAGCGCTCACGGCTGACAAGAATTCATTGTCTTGACATGATATGTGGGGATACAAGGAATTGAACAAGCTGATGATAGGCTTGTAGGTAACGCTATGCTGCTAGGAAAGCGGGACAAGCCATGGACCAGGCTGATATACTCAATCCAATGCGAGATTTAAGACATTTGCGTGAACCAGTTTATAGGGACCACAGTTTCGGAAATTTGCTATCTTTTCGACAATTTCCGTTACCATAGAAACCGTTTAAAACTTGTTTCGGAAATGTCGGCTGGGGTTACGGGATGGGTCCTAATCTCTCATGAAATTTTGCCATTGGTGTGATTTTCACCCACTCTAAATAGCTCAAAACGGCGGGAAGGAACCCGATTAACAGCGCATGTCTACGACAGCCGGACATTCTCTGTTTTTCTGTTAGTCTATCAGTTTGATTGAAAATAGCGGTAAATTCGCGGTTGGCTTTAGGCTTAAACATTACCAGTTGTGGTAATGCTAGTTACAATTGAATTCTCCGTCCAATTTTACATATGCATATTAAATTTTTTTTCCCGACTCTGGCTGTTTAGATTTACAGTGACATTTTTTAGGCAATGGCATGCGGCTGAGTGAGCTGAGTCTCACTGCCTGCCATCTTGTCCAATGACAGTCCAATGTCAACAAAGCCGATACAGAACTGCGCAGTAGGTTGCGCAGTCAAAAAACTTCTTGTTTGTGGGTCACAAGTTTTAGCGGCTGTTTCTTACATCTCATCTCCACAAAAACCTACATATCTCAGCTCAGAAATGACATACAAGCCTAAATGAGGTACCATTGGAAAGAGATTGTTTACAGCTATCTAACTGTGCTGATTTTATTGGTGTAGACGGCATTTTAAAAATTTGACTGAAGTAGCTACAGTTTAGAGCTTTGAATCTGCAGCCATGGTTAGACTGCAAGACCGGCAGGTTAAACCATTGTCGTGAAACAAGAATCCCACGCAGGTAGCCTAAGAAGAATAATAAGCCAACAAAAGTATTAAAACTGGTGTTGTCAGCTGCAACACTGCAGGATTTATTGAGGAGGGGATCCAAGAACCTATGGACTGAGTGGTTCGACATGCAAGCACGATTATCTGTCGACTAACCTTGGATGGTAGACAGAAGTCTCAGGGAAGCAAAGAATAGTATTGTGTAGTTACTGATCAACTTATTGAAGAAATGCTTAAAGAAAGCTGTTAACTGCTGTTGAGATATCAAGAAACAAATCAACTAAACAGACCAAGAAACTCTGGGTTGTGTAAAAGTTCATTTACAACTTATTCGTTTTAAATGTATCTGGCTGTAAACTTTCAGAAAGCTTTTTTTCATGCACTTCTTGACTTTGGCCTTGTTCCAGACTTGTTTTGGGTGCATATATTTTGTGTGTACTGACTGTTGGTTCCTTACTTCTCAGCAGATGCACTCTTGTCTTGAGGGAAATTTGCATAATTTAGTTGCCCCTCCTATGGCATGCTTGTTTAGATTCAATTTGGTCTGTCTGCACTAGAATAGGGCCCTAGAACCCACAAAGATAAGTTAGTGTAAACAACTGCCTTTACCATTGTTATTGAAGAAAACAAAAATTCCCTAAGTCCAGCCCTAAACTGGTGTCACAGAGAAATAGACCATAAATGTGAAAAGCTGGGAAATCGGCTGCGCTGTGAAATATAAATGGAGGCTATCCTCCGAATAACGGTCCTAAATTACTGAAGCAGAAAATATACCCTAACAGGGTGTCAGTCATGTATTGTGTCAATTGCATAGTTCCATTGTCTTAAAGTGCGCTTTTCCGACGACTTTCGCCACCGCCGAGAGTATCCCCCACGCGCCATGGCAGATACTCTTGGCGTTGCCGGAAGTTCACAATTACGGCGGTGGCGTTAGTCCCAGGATGTGCGCATTTGACACGTGACTGAGGCCCTGTTAGGGTATATTTTCCGCCTCGATAATTTAGGGCCATTCGGAGGATAGCCTTAATGGATACTATGGAACAGGAAAGGGCAAGAAACCTTTAATGCAAGAAAACATTTTTTTAACGTTTAAAAAAATTTAGTAAAAGAAACCATTAGAAGGACACAACATAGATTTTGTCAGTTCTGTTACATGTGCAGCCATCTATTTGCATTTGTCCCTCCTAAAATAGAGGTAGCTTGGTTCTTGTTGCAACACATCTTTTTATTTATATAAATTCTGCTGCTTCGCTTACTTTAAACTTAAGATCATTTAAAGCCTTAAACTTTTAGCTAGTAGATGTCTAATTTCTTGGAAAGTACGGTGGCCGGCATATGTTGGCCATGTCCCACATTGAAGGTCAATTAAATTGGTGTATAGAATATAATGCTAGCATCTTATGCCTTGTACACATACAACCACTGAAGGATCCTTTACTTATTTTAATTTCATAGATCGAAACATCCAGATGTATATTTTTCTAGTTTGAAACATCCAGAGGCTATTCTCCGAATAACGGTCCCAAATTATCGAGGCCGAAAATATACCCTAACAGGATCTTAGTCACGTGTTAATTGTGGACTTCGGGGACTATGCCGTCACCGCCGAGTGTCCTCCGCGCTGCTCAAGTGGCGGGGCTTGGAACTAAACTAGATGGCTGGGACGAGCAAATAAAATGAAGGAAGCTGCAGGAGATGGGGTAGCTGCTGCTCGTGAGTCCCAGCCATCTAGTTTAGACCCAATCCACGCGGCGTGTGGGGATACTCTTGGCGTTGGCGGAAATCGCCGGAAGTGCGCAATCTAAGTTGCCGGGAGTCTGCAATCGACACATGACTGAAGCCCTGTTAGGGTAAATTTTCAGCCTCAATAATTTGGGACTGTTATTCGGAGGATAGCCCATCCATGTGTATGTTTTCTAGTTGGAAACATCCAGCTATATGTTCTGCCAGTTTGAAACATCCAGATGTATGTTGTCTCTTATCTTTTCAGTATGTCCAAAATTATGAAGTGTGCTGGTAATGATGACAGCATCACCATTAAGGCAGCAGATGAAGCAGATACAGTATCACTGGTGTTTGAGTCACCAAGTAAGTTTTTGATGTAGTTGTCACTCGTTTACATCTAAATATGAATTTATCTTTATGTTTTAGTCATTTTATTAACAATCGGTGGATAAACCAAAGGTGTGCAGCCTCACGACCCCCACCACCATTTTCCTACACCATAAAAAAAACTTTCAAAAATAAGTGACTAATAAATGCGATAAAATTGTAATTGTCTGACCTTTTTTGTGTGGCGAAATATATAAAGATATGTGGAGAAAGTAATTAAACATGAACAGGTAGAGCATTAAATGGAATGCCTTCCTATGGAGCTTTTTAAATAAACATATCGTGTGGCCCAGCTCCTCATTTCCATCAGTGAGACTTACGCAACATTTGACAACAGCTTGGCTGATTTTTTTTTTTTTTTTTTTCTTACTTTAAAACACCCTATGTTGTTCAGTAAATTTATATCGTGACTTCCTAAACGTTTGCGTAGAGGTGAAACCAGCGAATAATAACGATGTCTCATAAACAGGTCACTAAAATATAAAAGACTGAGAAGTGCCATTTACTTGGAGTTGGTCCCAACTGGAGGAGTCAGTTTGAAGGCTTCTTGAAACAAAATGTTTGATATCTGGTAGTTTTTGAATAATTGTTTGTGAAGAAAAAGTGGTCGTGGAGGGAACTGATAGCCCACCTCATTTATAACAGTCTAGAATATGTAAAGATATATCACTTCATAATTAGCATACCATTGTATCAAGATTGGTGATACAGAACTTCAGCCACGTAAAAAAGCAACCCAGTATGTTGAACATGTGCTGCAGACATGCTCTCCACATGAATTGAGAATTGATATGCTAATACCATTTGCAACCTGACTGAAAGGTTCCCCCTCAGTGTTGAACATCTTCCAGACCCTCTCTGCTCAGTTCCTACTGAATTAGTCTTTCAGTGTTTGTGTATTCTGTTACGTTGCATTGTCCACTTTGTTCCAGAGAGGTTTCACCATGTCCACTTTATCATAAAGTAGCTTTTTACCCAAAGGTGAAGCAGCAGCAGCCAGTAGATCAGCTGTTCATTATCCCACACACCCAAATGTCCTGGACAAAACAAATCCATGATATGCTCCTGCTCTGAGTCTTGTCAACAAATGCATGCCACTTTGTAGGATGCCAGTTTCTATTTTCTGAAGCATGCTGTCTAAAATAGTTGCAATTACATCTTGGGCTGTGCTTCTTTGAAGCCATAAGAAAGCTGCCATCACTGCTTCCACTTCCATTCTCAAATTGATTGTAGTGACATATACAAAGCTCTGCTGATTTATGTGTTTGTTCCCGTCTGCAATCAAACCCTATCACAGCAGGGAAATACCAGGTCTGGTCATTTAGCATTCTGGTGAACCAAGTTGATTGGATCAGTGGAGATAATGCATTGCAGGACATGCTTCTCATCTAAAACCCACTACAGTGAGAATGGGGTAGAATTAAAACATTTGGATACATTTTGGTACGTTCTTGACTGTGTGTTTGATGTGCTTGTGAGTGTTCAGTTCCCTTTTTTTAAGGGGGAATGGCTATTTACTGTTGTTTCTGATGATTTTGCAGATCAGGAGAAAGTCTCTGACTACGAGATGAAACTGATTGATCTAGATACTGAGCACTTGGGCATTCCGGTACGTACATTAAAAAAAATATATGTATATTAGATTTACAGTGAAATATCGATGTTATCAGTGTATTTCACAATGCTTGCCATATCAAGTTTCAAACCAGCCGCTTTAAAAAAAAAAAATTTAAAAACTATTATTGTTCCCGTCTGCAATCAAACCCTATCACAGCAGAGAAATACCAGGTCTGGTCATTTAGCATTCTGGTGAACCAAGTTGATTGGATCAGTGGAGATAATGCATTGCAGGACATGCATTATTGAAATTTGGGCATTAATACAAGGGTCACACCATGGAAGATATTAGGACTTCACCGCATTTTTCCGGTGTCAGCAGTAGGTGCACAGCAGCCAATCTTTAGTGTGGAGGCCTCACACAATCTATCATTGCGTTTGAAAATTCAGGTGCATTAGATCTAAAATAGAATAGTGCATTTAATTATGTATAGAGAACATAACAGAAACTTAAGTTATGTTTGTCCCTAATGATGGTGCTGTTTGTCTTCATTGAAGTGCCAGGCTGTCCTAACTTGTGCTGTCTCTTGCAGTTATCTACACACTTGTCATTTTAGCTCGTGGAAACCTATTACTGTCTACAGTCTCTACCTTGTTTTATTTATCACTGTCTCTTTTTGTGTGTTTCGGGGCCCTGTGTGGGGAGATGGACCCACTGCCTCGCTTAGAAAACATTTGGTAAAAGTGACTGATTAGGGGTGTTTAAGTCAAAATGGGTCTGCCTGAGAGAGATGAAACAGTCTGATTAAAAATAAGCCCAACAATCTATAAGTGGACGGATCACCAAAACTTTCTGCTGGGTTTTACAGCTGGGAATGCTTACATTAAAAAATAATGTACTGAATAAATGCCATATTCTCTACTGGTACTGCTTCATGAAACTGCTGCTGAAATGAATTGATAATAACAGTAGGCACATGCATATCTGGAGAGATCGGTGGTCTGTGGAGTAGAATTCTGCAGTTTCTGATGCTCATTTTGTGAGACTCACTGGCTGTAAACGCAGGCAGCAAGTTCTGTTTGCTGTCCATTTCTGGACTTTGGTCTTGTTACAAAACTTGAAGTTTGCATACATATCCATTTTACATATCTGGCTTATTTGCATGCAGACTGTTGGTTCCCCAACTCTCAGGCAGATGCACAGCGACTTTAAGGGAAAGGCCCCTAATTAATCGGGGGGTGCACACCAACCATCTGTCACCCCAGGTCTGTTGCTTTGAAAATTGAACTTTTTTTAAAATATTTTCCAGCATTATGAATCCTTGGGGTTTCATTGCTGCAGATATCATCTGTTTTTCATTTCTCCCCCCCCCCCCCCCCCCCCACCCTCCCTTTTTTTTTTTGGGTTGGCTCCAGGTGTTTGTTGATCTGCCTGTATATTATTTCTTGTGGTCTACAACTATTCAACTCTTATGTAGTTTTTGTTTCTGTGTTATCTGTCTTTATGTTACAACCATTGCAGTCTGTTTGCCTCACAATGCTGGTGTTTTGTAGTGATTTCAATAGATTATGAATTTCATTGTTGCTTCTCCCTCTCCATTCTTTATTGTATGCATCTTTGAATGGTTCCAAACATTCGTCATTAGACTGGTATCAAAAGTTTGTAATAAAGCTTCATCTCGCTCGATACATATTTGAATTGATGGCCTACAGGACACTGAGTACAGCTGTGTGGTGAAGATGCCAAGTGGAGAGTTTCAGAGAATCTGCCGGGATCTCAGTCAGCTGGGGGACTCTGTTGTCATTGCCTGCACAAAGGAAGGCATCAAATTCTCTGCTAGTGGAGAGCTGGGCACAGGTATCTTAACTTTACAAATCTTGTGTCATACATGGTTCTGGGCAATGAGTAATAAAATACTGAGGACATTGGAAGCGGTGGATTGTGGTGTTTTAGAACGTTGAGTATAATGTGGGCAGAGTGGAAAAACATTCCTTGTGTGCGTTCCGGTCCACTGCCCCCTAACAAGCATGTGGTAAGAGTCGGCTAATTGTGGGCGTTTCCTTCAAAGTTTGAGTGCATTTGTCTGTCATGGGAGGCGAGGAATTGGCAGCCTGCGTACAAATAAACCAAATCTATGTGTGCACACTAACACTCATAGGACCAGAACCTTATGCTGGAGTGAAAATGTAAAGACAGTAAATGCACACACAAAAGAATCAAAGAAATGTTAAGGTGTTGACACCTACACAAGATCAGTTGTGAAAGCTGTCAGGAAAAGACAGACTGGCTTTATAAAAGTAGAAGAGGTGGCATGGAGAAATTAGTTTTGCATGGAAAAATACACAGATCGGATGACCAAGAAAATTAATAGATGGAAGTAAAATTACAGTATTTGAAGATAAGACATGTGTCCACAAGAAATGAAGTTTCAGAGGAAGAGTACACCCACTGTGCTTCTAGAAGGGTTAGCATTTTCAAATCAGTGTTGTTTGCATCTTGTATCTGATGCTGCAGTGTTAGCCTAACATCTTCAGTTGAAGCATGTAATGATATAGTATGGTGCTTGCCTCTTACTCCAGTATGGTGAGGATTTTTGCACAAGAAACCCAGGGATCGTGTGTTCCAACCTGAGCTTGCGGATCATGTCTAGGTTGTACAGCTCCTTAAATAAAATGACACTGCACATGTTGCAGATAGTGAAGGCAATCAAACATTTGGAATAAAAAAGGAAGTGCAGAGTAAGCTGCTGTGTTTTAAAATTCAGTTCGAAAAAAATATTTGTAATGTTTTGCATATATTTGGGTCTTCATATGTGCTACAGTTATATATACTATGTTGAGATTCTTTTTTTGTAATGTATGGTGGCAGTGTGGAGACTCCAGCTGAAGTAGTTGGGACATTTAGAGAGAATTGCACATGAGACAAAAACTGCATGCAAGGAAGAAAAAAAAGTTACTCGAGAGTAGACCCTGTGGTAGACCAAGAAATGGGAAAGATAATTTCCAGACATGTGAGCAGAAATGATAGTTTATACAGTATGAACCAACCTTCAGTTGTAAAGTGGTGAGAGAATACCACACAAATTGACAGATTATTCTCATTGCACAAGTCTATAAGCTCTTGGATCTTATCTTCACTATATCCCTGTTTGTGGCGACTGATAACACCAGTTCTGTGTTGGTTTCCTCTTCTCCTTTGCTACCCATATAGTGGTCATATCTGGCAGTATTTATTGTGAAACCATCTTCTACAAATGTTTGCAGGAAACATCAAATTGTGCCAGAATGCCAGTACAGACAAAGAGGAGGAGGCTGTGATTGTGGATATGAATGAAGCTGTGTGTTTGACCTTTGCTCTCCGCTATCTCAACTTCTTCACCAAGGCCACACCCCTGTCACCACAGGTGACTCTGTCAATGTCCCAGGATGTACCTCTGGGTAAGAACTTGATTTCTATTTGGCATTACCATTTTATTCAGGTTTTCTTATGGTCATATTGATTAGTAAGCTCCCTATGTGAGTTTTGGAGCCCCATTGAGGGGAGAGCAAGAATAGACCCACCACCTCCCCAACATGCATGTCATATTTGACTAATTAGGGGCTTCCTTAGAGGTCAGAGTACATCTGCCTTAAAGGCAAGGAACAATCAACTGCTCACAAATAAGCCAGTAAAATGGATGCACACTCAAAACTCTGGCCAAAGTCCAAATGGACAAATAACCAGGACTTTACACCAGAGCCTGCAGCTGGCAAGCAAAGAAGATGGCTAGTAAGCGTGCTCCCTGTTTAGGCTCCGGGGCCCCATTTCTACACTTTGTGTCGCTTAACAAAAATATCATTAAAGGTAACTAATTAGAGGGTCTGCTCAATTTGGATGTATTCAACTTAAAGACATGTATTGCAGTCTAGCTGTAAACCACAACACTACATGCTAACTGCCCTGAGGGTAAGTGCAGAAAAAGGCGTGCCTGCAGATTGTCTGAATTCATTGGCAGGCAGTAAGGCTCTGGGGCTGACCCAGCCTCATAAGAAATTGGGGCTTTCTTTTTTTTTTTTAAGAAGACCACTCCCTTTTTCCCATGGGGTCCTTTTTTTGTTTCGTTTTTAGTACGTCAGAATTGAGAAATAGCCTTTGTTCACATTTAGTGTGTAAAACAAATGTCCAGACCTAACGCAAGTGGCAATGAATCGTCAGACATAGAGGTCTGTGACTTCTGAAGAATACGGTATTGTCTGGAAAGGAAAGAATAATTAGAATATAAGGCACTTAACGTCTTTACAGCAGTAGTTGCTATGGTTGACCTTTTAAAATTTGAATCTGTGGAGCAAGAAAAAGATTACGATGTTAGTCATGTAGAACGAACTCATAGGCAGAATTTTGTCTTTTCCCCAAAGTCTTTCTGTTGATGCTGATGTTTTTTTGCTGTCAGTGTGTCATGAACAACCAGTTTCGACATAAAATTTTAGTTGTCAATTTTTTTCAACTTATGATTTCAGAATTCTCAAAGTAATACCATTGTTTTTTTTTTTTTTTTTTTTTTAATTTTTTTTTAAACCCTTAGATGATTTTTGTTTGTTACAAATGATTTTTAGATGACATTTATATCGTTGGGGAAAATGAATTGGAGACTGTAAAAACACTGACTGTACTAAAATAAAAGAAGCAGCTCACAAAATGGGACTAGTTATCAATCAAGATAAGACAATACATGATAGTAACAAGACAGGAAAAGGATGTAAACTCCTGCCACAAACAAGTTGAAAATATGAAAATCAAACGGATGGAAACAAAAGTATTTGGGTGCAAACTTCAACTGCTGCAACATGCTAAGATAAAAACAGTCTGGAAATAAAGTAAACTGCCCCTCATCATCTGCTAACTGTCGCAACACCAAGATCAAAATATATAAAACGTTGATCAGACCAGTCTTTTTATATGGCTCTCAGACTTGGAGCACAGCTAAAAGAGATGAAGCTTCATTAAAAAATTTCGACAACAGAGTATTACGCCAAATCTTTGGACTCATCAATGATGCAAACAGTGTGGAATGGAGAGTGAGAAGCAAAAATTAAATTCATAATCTGTTTAAATCACCATTGATCAATGGCATCATGAGATCTAACAGACTCAAACGGCTGGGGCATATTGAGAGAATGTCAAATGACAGAGATGTAAAAACTACACAAGGGAACTGAATGATCGTAGACAATGAGGCAGACTAGGAAGATGATGGAGAGATAATGTCCAGACAGACCTGCAAACACTTGGTGTCGCCAACCAGAGAGAGTGGAGGCGGGTGATATCTGCAGCAATGAACCTCAAGGGCTTGGAACGCTGAAGATTTTTTTCATACATAAAATACTTGCATGGGATAATAATGAATGGAGAACTCATGTTTTCTACAATACTGCTAAGGCTTTGTTCTATAGAGAGGATCAGCTAGGGAGGAAGTAATAAATGAGAAAATTATTGCAGATTAGTCAGGAGCTGAACATCGGAGGAAAAGCACATTGATATTATACAAGTGGTGGCTCTCAAATCTTGTGCTTTGCTCGTGGAATTTTTAAAAATATATATACATAAATGGTTCTTGCTAGTCTCACTTGCCATCACTATGGGCTGTGGTTTCTATGCCTTTTTAATTTAAGGGCAACATAGGAAAAAGGTCATTCAGGGTTAAAATACCTCAGTAATGCATGATATAATTAAAAAAAAAATTATTTAGTTTGCAATTTCCTACTTGTTCTATCCACAGTGGTGGAGTATAAGATCGCTGACCTGGGCTTCCTCAGATTCTACTTAGCTCCAAAGATTGAAGATCAGGAGGCAGAGTAAAAAGTAATGGATCAGATGAAGTTATAGGAACTGTTGTCCTTTAGAACAAGAAAACATGTTGTCTCTTTTCTATGATGTAAATAAATCATAATTGCTACATTTTGTGTGCTTGTTTGTTTTCAATGCAGGATTCTGCATACGTGTATGAGAGAAGGCTGGACTTTGTTTAAATATGTGATAAAGAAAATGATAAACCACTGCCTTAGGCACCAACTCACGTAAATTACTGGTGGGTGGTTGAGTAGGTAGGCCTGTCTCTACTATAAATTAAAGATGGGTGCAAGCAGGCTATAAAGGATACAGGTTTTGGGGTAAAGGACCATGTTACATGAAATTTTGAAGGAGACCATTTCAAATATTAAGAGTGATCCGTGTAAGAGGAAGCAAGATGACAACTGTCCTGAAATCTATCTGCGTTCAAAGGCGGAACGTTATGGCTGTTTGTCCACTTCTGGACTCTTAGTCCTGCTGTTCTAGAACCTTGGTGATGCATGCATATCAGGTTTACAGATCTGACCTATGTGTATACAGACTGTTGGTTCCTTGATGTCAGGCAGAGATGCACTCCAACTTTAAGGAAAGCTCCCAGTCAACTTTTACAACATGCTTTTGGGAATGCATGGGGTCTATTCTTGTCCCCCAGAATCCACACAATGCAATCCCATGTTCTAATGGGGTCAGACTTAACACACAGAGGTCTTGCTAAGATTCGCAATGGGTGGTTATTTTCATGCCTCCCCATAGCACTGGTATAGAAGAAGTACATTTAGTTGAGTCAAGAATTGACAGCACTCGAGGTATTCCCATATGCGCTCTGTCCCCATCTTCAGCAGCCAGCACAGAGTTCCAGTACTAATGGTACTGGACGTAGTAAGGTTATATGACTGTCTTGCCTTTCTTCTAAAATATAGCAAGCCAGCCGTATCCTCTGGTCACACCCAGGTGCATCATTCTCCAGGCCATGACCCAGTTTCTCTTCTGACTTTGTTACCAAGTGGCCTTGTCATGTATCAGTTTACACCCAGTGATGTAGATCCAGCCAATCTGCCTGTTCATTCTCCACTATGCCGGCATAGCCTGGAGAAAAGATCCAATGTATGCTCACTACCTTCCAAGTGAAGCTTGCCACTCTCAGCATGCTTTCAGAGTCTGTTACAATTACATGTATATGCATCTTGTCCTTTAGCCACCGGAAAGCTGTAGTGACTGCCTCCACCTCCATTCTTAAGCTAGATGTAGTATCAAATGTGAGGCTGTCATGCTAGAAATATGTAAAAGGAGTTATTGGGGAGCAGAAATATGATGCTCCGTGGGGTGGAGGAACTGGAATTAAACTGACAGAACACCAAGACCTGTAGTGAGATATCAATACCTGCACCACCAACCAGGGCATACAATGACCGTGTTGGTTAATACCACACACAAAAAACTTTCAGAGAAAACAAAACCTGTTATTTAATAAATGTACAATGAATATCACAGAATTGTACATACATTATTACGTACATAATTTATTTGCAATCACCATGCATATAATGTCAGAACTATCAGCCCTTACACAATTAGTTTAAAACACTGAACTTGCTATGGTAAATTACTGATGAGCAGATGAGTCGGTCAGCCTCTACTACAAATTAACAATGTGCGCATACCTGAGTTATGTGGTTATTATGACCCCCCTTTTTTTGGTTAATGTTTCCTGATACCCATTTTTAGGCAGGATCAAAACGGAAGTCCAGGTTAATTTTTCAACAAAATGGGGGATTCTAACTTATGATGATTACTGGTTGAACCACGGCTGGCTCCAGCTGATAGGCTGTGTTGCTGTCACCAGGTCGGGCTAACGATTCAATAACGCAGTGGTTCTCAAACAGGAAATAAATTATTTTCGAAAGTGGTGGGGGAAGACAACTTACACTTTAACTTTTAAGTATCCATATGCCTTCTTTAATAATTTCACAATTTTTAGCAGGCTTTTCTTGATTATTGCTGCAGCACCCCTAGCATAGGCTCACTGCACCCAATTTAAGAACCACTGCATTAATGCATCCTTAGCCCGACCCGGTGATGTCAGCAGCATGGCCCATCAACTGGAGCGGGTTGTGGATGAACAGTTAAAAATGCAGGGCTTCCATGCGGGAGACCCAGGTTCAAATGAATAATGTCCACAGCCAAACCTGACTCACCCAGAAATGTCTTTTTTTTTTAATTCACCGGCTATTAGCTCTGGCAGAAAGGTCCTGGTGTTCGTTCATTTGGACTTTTGTGTTTGTGCCAATGCCTCAGCTTTGCATGTAAATCCATTTTACTGGCTTATTTGTGTGCAGTTGGTTGTTCCTTGCTGCTCGGGCAGATGCATTTAAACTTTGAAGGAAGTTCCTAATTAGTCTACTTCTATGACCTGTTTGTTGGGCAGGCAATGGGTCTATTCTTGTTTTCCCCAGAACCCACACAGGGAACCCAAAAATAGTAAATGATGAAAAATTGCAAAGGTCACAAATTAAAAAATTTTTGGTTTCACAACAGCAATGGAGACTGACAGAAGTCAGAGGATGGAAATATCAATACAAAGATTAAACAGCATTAAAAGTCTATGGTTAAGCCTCAACAAGGAATTTAAAATTGTGAGAGCATGCATCTTTCCTATAGCAACATCTGGATGTGAGTCGTGGACTATGTTCTGGTTCCTAAGGAAGATAAAAAGAGGCTTCTCAGCTGAAATGCTATAGAAAGATTTTCAAAATACCATGGACAAATAAGAGCAGAAATATGGACATTCTAAAATATCTCAACATCAAGGAAGGATTGGCTAATAAATAGCATCTTGTCTCTAAAGCTGAAATATTTTGGTTATATAAAACACCATGCTGGATTGGGAGAAAAACAGTTGAAGGGATGGGCCAACCAACATGAAATTGAATACAGGGTAGAAGTGACACCTTGGATATGAAAGTGTGGGAGAGCTGGCAAGAGACCTGAGTTTCTTTCAGGCAGACTATGATAACAGCGATGTTCTGCAAAGTACCTGCTACATGATGGTGATGAACTTGCACAGTCAAGTTCTTGACGTCAGCACTGGCCATGGGGCCTTAAATCCCCAGGCTTAAAAGACTTCCCCCTCCCCCAGCAAAAAATGTGAACACAGGCTGTATGAAACACTTTGTTGTGAGTACTTGTACATCTTTTAGACTCCTGGAGGTGAATACCTTCACCTTTTTCTACAAAAAGCCCTGGTCACTATGAAATATTTCCAGAGACAGAAATGGATAGCTCTGCAGTGTGGAGGCAGCACATATTTCCTTTTTTTTTTTTATGTGTTTCATTTTATGGTATGAAAAAAACTAAAAAATACATAAGAGATTAAATGATTAAGCAGGATGTGTGAAGGGTATTTCAGAAGTCACTATCATCCAAATCACCCCGTGGAACCGGCTTTTGACCTTTTAGTGGCACTCCACCGCCAATCCCTTGGATATCATCATCGTCCTCAGCATCATCATCGTCGTCGTCATCATCTAAATCTATATCTGACTCTCCAGAACCATCTGAGCCACTGTCCTGCAGATGAAAACAACAATTTTACATCAAGAATATGTGAATGTAACTTATTCATCGTCTGGCTTTTATCTCTAAATAGAGCAGAAGACTCAACTAACTCACACAATTATTCACCTATCTTGTTTTAAGTAAGGAGTTTGCAGGCAACTGAGGTGCGGTTCTTGAGAAGAATGTTGTGAATACCTTGGACTGCCAGAATAACTAACAATGATTGCCTGGAAATGGCTAATGAAAGTAGAACATTATATACAACAATGAGAAGGAGACAAAGTTCTTTGGTCATGTGATGAGAAAAGGAGCACTGAAAAATATGATGACTGAAAAGATCACAGGTAGAAGAGGCAGACCAAGGGAAATGATGGTTGATGGCACAAGACAGTGGCATAGAGGAATATCATCAGTGGAATTCATCCAGAACATCAAAGACCGAGATCTGTGGAGATACATGAACGCCTAAGCCAGCTGGTAAGGCACTTGATGATGATGATCTCTTTTTTATGGCTCTCCCTGTGAAGATACTACCAGGGACCCCATTTTGGTGGTCCCCAGAACAAATGTGATTCCTCGGGTACCAAACAATACACCATGTGTTTAGTGGTAACTTCATACAGGATATAGTTTACTTAAGTGCTTATATGCTCAATGTAGTTCTCACATTTATCCAGTCTATTTCAACTAATTGTTACTCTTTACATCCAATATGGTTATTATTGGAACTCAATTTTAATATTTAACAGTTTCAAGTAAAATCTCTTAGACTGAATCAGTCAAATTTAAAACTGTGGGACTGAAAGAGTTAAGGGATGCTTGGCATCAATAAGTAAAGCAAATACATGACCCTTTCCTATGCCTTCAGGTGTACTGGGCATAGACCAATCGACATTTGATGGGTGATAAAGCCAGCAGGACGCTGGGCGCATTTACTTCCCAGGACTGTACCTGTTACCTGGGTCGACCTGCGACCCAAGGTCATTTTTGAAAAAAAGTCAAGCTCCATCAGGATCTAAACCCACGAACCACTTTCTGATCCGCAAGCAAACATCTAGCCGCCATACTACGGTGGTTGATATCAATACAGCAACAACAATGCACTACTTTCTGTGATCCACATATTAAAAATGATAAGTTATTCAGAATAGCTATTAAAAAGTACAGGGTCTGGAGGATTCCTGAATGCCACCTTCCACATACGTGAAGCATTCTTTTGCACAAGTCGCAATGTCATTTACGCCATCAACTGCAAGAGATGTGGCAGGAAATACATTGATGGAACGGGTCTACAGCTGGCTAACAGGTTCATACATTTTTGGATGTGCAAAACGTTGCCCTGAAACCAGTACCGCTGCACTTTAATTCCTAGAATCACCAAAGTGTCTACGACATGGAGATAACAGCCATTAAACTAGCCATTTTTGTGCATTTTAACACCCAGGGGACTGAACTGTTAACAGTTTCATCTAAAATTCTTGAGTGACAGCCCTTGGCATTCCATTGCAATTTATTCTAAGGCCGAACGAGTCTGCCGCGGTCTCTTCACAGGGGCACCGCAAAATATTCGAAGATTCATTAGTTTTATTTCTTTTTCAATCTCTTACATACAAATAGTCATACTATTACTTATGTTGGGGCAATGTGGAAATCTTTTTATTGAAAAAAGGCGCCGAACCAAGAAAAGGTTGGGATACACTGGCTTATAACATAAAGCAATGACGTTATATGTGGTTTCCTGTCTTTTGCTAGTTGCATAGCTTGTGTTATTTTCTTATTGTATTTTTGTGGTTGTAGTATCTCTTTTACACACTCCACCCATCTGTTTCTTGGTCAGCCTCTTGCCTTGTAGCCTTCTGTACTGATGTACTTATAGTAGGCTCAAGCTGCTAGATCTTAAGATGATTAATCATCATCATCGGGTGCCTTGGCGACTGGCGTGGGCAATCAAGCCTCTCCACAATCCGATATCTCCTGCAGCATGTATCAGTTTGTGTGTTGACATACCTCCATTCCATGCAACAGGACTGTCAAGAATCTTCTCTCGTCTTCCTCTATCTCTCCTTCTACAGATCTTTCCAGTGGTCACAACATGTTCAATTTTCCCTCTTCTCATAACATGGCCGATCATTAATACAACTGGGAATTATAAGCGGGTCATTTGATAGGACTCAGTGGCCCAAGGTTCAGTGGGCTGTCAGTTGAATAGCCCTGATTTAGGCATTTAGGTGGGTGGGCAACAGTCAAAGGAGGGGGGAGGTGGTGAGAACAGACTCACTGCCACCCTAACAAGCATGTCATACAAGACGACTAATTAGGGGACCTTCCTTCAAAGTCAGAGTGCAAGGAATCAACAGTCTGCATACAAATAAGCCAGATCTGTAGAATGGATGTGTATGAAAAACTCAAGTTCTAAAACCAGACCAAAGTCTAGAAGTTGACGAAGAACCAGAGCATCCTGCTGGAGTTTGCAGCTGTTAAACCCTCAGAAAAGAAGAAGGAGAAAAATAACTAACCTTCAGGTCTTGTTCTGCTGCTGACATGGTTAGTTGCTATTTTCATGTCTTCATCAGACTCCCTGTCGTCATCTACCACGTTGTAAATAAAACAATCACCAAATAAAATAGAAAAAAACAGGCTAACGGAAACAGAACCAATTGTAATAAGTGTAAATCTTGAGTTCAAACATGAAAGCTTACACATAAATCATCATGGCCCAGAATCATTTTCTCTGCAATAACCAGGGGATTGTGTAACGTTAAGCAAATATCAATTTAAACTTCTGCACAAGTTAAACAATAATTACCATTAGTTAACATATCATTGCTGACTGGGACAAATTTATGAAGACATTATGTACAGCTATAATATTTTATGCTATTCCTGGATGTTTTAGGCAAAAAGGCCCAGACATCACAGCCTAGCTGTAAACCACAACATAAGGCACCACTACCATTTTAAGGCTGAATGCAGAAGAAGATGATTCATGCTATACCAAGCCTAAGCAATCGTTTGGTCTTTGTCCCAACTATTTTTGTGTGTTCTTATCCCTGACACCCCAGGTCGCTAAATAACCATTGTACAAATTAATGTATCTAAATGTTTTCACCATCCCCCCCCCCCCCCCCATACATAAAGGGTTAAGTAATCAATAAACGTGATCAGAGTGAAGCATTAAATGAAATAAATTCCCCGGAACTCTAAACAACATGTACTGGGTGGAAGTTATGGAGAATATTTGACTGCTGCTTTAAAACATTCAGTTCTCTGTCTCGCACGCTCGCGCACACAATCATGCACGCACGCACACACACACACAACTAAATTCTACTGAGTAAATATAATACTCATATCTTGACCTCCTAAACCCTACACAGGCACAAACACAACCAATGGCATTAACTAGGCGTCCTGTAAAATCATCAATGAAGAAAAGTCGGTTAAGTGGCTTTTAATGGGAACTGGACCCAACTGGAAGTGTTGGCTCTGAGGCTTCTTGGGCTAAAGGGTTTGAGCAGTAACATTTGGGGAGCTGCTGTAGTGTCACAACTAGACGCTTGCCTGTTGGCCTGAAGGTCCAGGGTTCAGATTTGTATCAAGGCAGATTTTTTTTTAAACACTGACATTGGCTTGCAGGTCGACCCAGTCTAAAATGGATGCCAGGTTATGTCCTGGGAAGTCAAGGCGGCAGTCATGATTTTGACCACGTCCCCAATTGATTGCTGACTGGTCTATAAAAATACAGGTCTAGCACCATATACCCAATGTGCCAAAGGCATGAAAAGAGTCCCTCACAAGCATTTGTTTCAAATGTTATCTGTTTTGCTTTCCCTAGCCTTCAACTGTCCAGATTAGATCAATAAGGGAGCAGGTTTTTGTATCACTTCACCTTAATCCTTGACCTGTCCAACATGGCAGTCCCTACCACCAGCACTGTTTTCTTTCTTCTTCTCGTTCACCAGGTGTGAATTCCGGTGGAAGGTCCAGGTTGTTCGCCCATTTAGACTTTTGGCTTTTACCTGCACCTGAGTTTTTGTGTGTACATTCGTTTTACTGGCTTATTTGTTTGCCATTCCCTGTTTCACCAGCAGATCTACTCCCACTTCAAGGAAAGACGTCAAGTCTATCTCTAGGATGCTGTGGCACCACCAGCACTAAAATCATAGACACAGCTCTCTGGAGGTCAGAGGAACAAACAAGTCCCTCCACCATTTTCAAGAGTGAGAGAAATTTCACAAATTAAATCTGCTCATCATGAGTTTCACCAACTTGGTTTAAAAATGTCCCCATAACAGGGGTGTGATCAATTCACTAACACATGCTGTGATTGTGGAGCTCACAGTCACATGGTTCTTGCAAAAGTTATCACTAATGGCATAATGCTAAGTCCTCGCGATGACTGCCCCACAATGAGAACCACAAAAGCAAGCCAGTCCTTAAGTATTTGTGAATCAGCTTGGATTAAATGGCTGTTTCAGGATCAGGGTGTTTATTACAGACTTCTACCATAAGGATCACAAAAAGCAAGATGTTCTTGGTAGACTGCAAAACCTGAAAACTAAAAGTTTTTCCTCTGCACGCCTTCATCTTCTGTCATTCATCTCCCAATGAAGCAAAGGCCAGCTCAGCCACGCTCTCTTATCTTTTGCTATCTCACGCTGCTGCCTCAACGTCAACCCCCATATCTATCATCATCATAAAGCACTTCTGCTGTGAAGCGTCATGGTGAGGAATACTTAGCATTTCCAGTGCATGCTGGCTGGCATGGCTATTGTCATTCCATGAAGGCATACAATGTTTTATAATGGTTGCCGACTCATACTTTTCGTGGCCACCTTTTTGTTCTTGTAGCTGATCTTCTGAGATGTAGTGATGGTATCTGATGCTGCTGCATTCTAATGAGATGGCCTAACTCCCATATCTGCTGTTTCTTGATGAGTCTAGTACAAGGTGTCATTCCCACAATCTGATGGTGTCATATTCACTCATTTTTGCTGTTTCTTGATGAGTCTAGTACAAGGTGTCATTCCCACAGTCTGATGGTGTCATATTCACTCATTTTTGCTGTTTCTTGATGAGTCTAGTACAAGGTGTCATTCCCACAATCTGATGGTGTCATATTCACTCATTTTTGCTGTTTCTTGATGAGTCTAGTACAAGGTGTCATTCCCACAATCTGATGGTGTCATATTCACTCATTTTTGCTGTTTTCTTGATGAGTCTAGTACAAGGGTGTCATTCCCACAATCTGATGGTGTCATATTCACTCATTTTTTGCTGTTTCTTGATGAGTCTAGTACAAGGTGTCATTCCCACAATCTGATGGTGTCATATTCACTCATTTTTGCTGTTTCTTGATGAGTCTAGTACAAGGTGTCATTCCCACAATCTGATGGTGTCATATTCACTCATTTTTGCTGTTTCTTGATGAGTCTAGTACAAGGTGTCATTCCCACAATCTGATGGTGTCATATTCACTCATTTTTGCTGTTTCTTGATGAGTCTAGTACAAGGTGTCATTCCCACAGTCTGATGGTGTCATATTCACTCATTTTTGCTGTTTCTTGATGAGTCTAGTACAAGGTGTCATTCCCACAATCTGATGGTGTTATATTCACTCATTTTTGGATAGTTTGGCCGGTGACTTTTCTCAGGCGTCTCATCCCGCAGGTGGTGATTTTACAAATCTCGTATTTATTCCTGTCTATAATTCTCCTCTCTGTGTGTTCTGCTTTGTCTGGGATCCATGGTAACCATTTTTCTACAGACGGATCATCAGCTTCATACAAAATTAGAATACATTCACCAGAAAGAAATGTACTCACCAAATATGTGTTTATTATCATCATCATCCTCATCATCTGGAGATATACGTCGATGTTTCAATTCCTCTGTTCTAATCTTGTCGGCCATGATTCTCTTCTGTTGTTCTGCTTCCTGAAAAAAGAATTACATGACATAGTCTGGCTCCTTCAAATAACTGGAATCAATCATTCATCGTCTGTCCAACTCATGATGAAAAAATCTGCAAATTAATTTACTACTAAACTATTAAAACCGATAGCCAGTTCTTGTTAAATCCAAAAATGATAAATTCAATTTTTATTCCAACTTGAGACTGCTTGTGTGAGACTTGAACATTAACAAATAACATAAAACCGTTTTTAAAAAAAGCTGTGTATCCTTTTATAGGACGTTACAGAACCAACCCAAGCATTTTTTTATGGCTGCTGTAATTTTCTAGGCAAATATCCCCTGTGAAATTAGATGTCTGAGAAATGCTGGAAATAAAATCAGAAGAAATTCTGTGAGAAATGAAGAGATCAGAACTACTGGAACAATACCCATTATTTAATTCAATGAGAAACAAGGACTGAAATAGTTGGTCACCTAGTGAAAATAAATCTACACAAAGCTGACAGTGAGAGTGTGCAACATAGAAATAATGAATTCCAGAAAAATTTGACTAAAAAGCTCAACAAAATGGGAAAAAGGAAAACGTGCACAAAACAACACAACGTAACGTTTCGGCCAGGCAGCCTTTTTCAAACACAAGTGGACTACACAAAAGAGGAATGGAGAGTATGTAGATCTCTAAGGGGTGACGTGAGCGACATTTTAAAAAATGTGATGCGGAATAAATGAAATAAAATAAAATAAACGATGGCTAAAAAATATAGTCACAATACTGGGAATAAAAAGAAATGCAAGTGTTAATGATACATAAATGATATTGATAAGAAATAGAATATGGTAATAATATGAAATAAAAATAAAATAATTAACATTTAAAATGTAATAAGATTAGAACTATTTAGATGAAGGTATGTTGGATATTGATACCTCTTGGACTAAGAACGCCAAGGCTGTGGATAAGGCGATTTTCCAAAGCGAGGCGGTACGGGGTAGTATGATCGCCAGAGCAAGATTTTAATGCTGTGACAGATATGTCATCTTTACCGCTGTGGTCAGGGCTATTAAAATGAAGAGGGATTGGTTTGAGTGTCTTCTTGTCGATATCAGAGAGGTGTTCCCGGAAACGATCAGCTAGCTTCCTGCCAGTCTCCCCAATGTATTCCATGCTGCATCGTTTGCAGATAATTGCATAAATTACGTTGCGGGATTCGCAAGTAAAAGGTTCCCTAATTTGAAAAGAACCATTAGGGAAACTGACCGAAGAAGTCTGGACAACGAAAGGACATGTTTTGCAGGTGCTGCGTAAGCACTTAGTAGTCCCAAGAGGAAGTGCTGTATGGATCGGTGGGAGTCGGCTTCGGACAAGTATGTCTTTAAGGTTGCGATCTCGTCTGTAAACTAATCTAGGTTTCTCACTAAAGATAATCTTGGTGTCCGGATCAGAGCGGAGGATGTCCAAATGACGAAAGAATACTTTGGAAGCAACCACATTGTTAGGGTGAAAAGTCAAGATCAATTTAGGTCCCTCATGGTGGAGTTACGTTTGGTAGGAAAAAGCATCTCTCCTGGTGATTGCTTAAACTTTGTTTAGAGCCCCTTGTAGAATGTGTTCCGGATAGAAACGGGCACGGAAGAATTCAAGAAGTTCAACTGATTTATCAAAGAAGTCAGAATCGTCAGAGCACAACCTGCGCAATCGAAGGAGCTGTGAATATGGAATAGAATTTTTACACGGTAGTGGGTGAGAAAGACGTATAGAGGAGATAACTGTGAGAATCCGTGGGTTTTGTAGTAGGCTGTGGTTTTCAGACACAGGAAATCGATGCTAATCGTGATGTCAAGAAAGTTAACTGAAGTGGTGGAGATCAGTGAGGTGAATTTGATAGCCGGATTGAAATTGTTGATGTAAGTAATAAATTGGTCAAGCTCAACCATGGACATTTCGGTGATACCAACGCCATCATCTATGTATCTCCTATACACCTCCGGAAACTTGCCCGGGTATGATAAACTGACCTCGTATTCCAGGTGGCCCATAAAGAGGCACGCGTAACTAGGACCCATCTTGGTGCCCATCGCAACCCCACTGATCTGGTCAAAATACTCACCATTAAACTCAAAAGAGTTTGAGGGTCAGTACCAGTTCGGCAAGGCGTACAAGAACTGAAGTAGGGATGATCGGGTTTGGACCTTCTGTCCAAAAAGAACTGGAGTGCTCTAAGACCATCACAGTGAGGGATAGACGTATAGAGGGAGCATACGTCTATCAGGAAAAGATGATAGGTTTTACCGGGAAGTAGTCTGATGGATTCGAAAATGTTGAGGGCATGGTTGGTGTCCTTGACAAATGAAGGGAGACTGGTGACAATCGGTTGGAAAATACTATCTAAAAATTCAGAAAGATACACCGTGGGACAGGAGCATGCAGATACAATGGGACGTCCAGGGTTGTTGGGCTTATGGATCTTAGGCAGCAAGTACATACACGGTTTGCCAAGTTGGCTGTCAAAAACACGCATAGCAAGTACATACACGGTTTGCCAAGTTGGCTGTCAAAAACACGCATATCAGCCATATCAGCTTTTTAGTCAAATTTTTCTGGAATTCATTGTATTAGCTTGACTGCAGTCACCCCCATAGTTTTAACATAGAAATAAGAAGACCAAGATGCAGTAGAATACATAGAAGAAGACGCACTGAAAGGGTCAGTGACAGCCTAAGACTTCACAACATCACTGCATACCAAACACCGAAGCATCCCCAGCTCAGCTCCCTAACATCTGTTAAACTGCAATGCCCAGAAGCACAAAGCAGATAGTGACAAAAAAAGTAGACAAGAACAGTATTATTTAGAAAAAGAGTCGTAGCGGCACAGTGATTATTACCTTCTCATTGTTCTTCCTATTTGTCCACTTCAGGACTTGTAGTCCTGTTTCAGAACTTCAAGTTTGTGTACACATTCATTTTACAGATCTGACTTATTTGCATATTGTTGGTTTCTCACTCAAACAGATTTACTCCAGTTTTGAAGGAAATGCCCATAATTAGTTGAATTTTTGATTTGACATGCTGAAAAGGGGGGGGGGGGCGCAGTGGATCTATTTATTCCACCCCATCAATGAGGCCTCAAAAACCACACAGGGAACTTGTTTATCAATGTTAGAGTCATCATTTTTTGGCCATGTTATGAAAAAAGGGTAACTGGAACATGTTGTGGCCACTGGAAAGATCTTTCAAAAGAGGAGCACAATACTAGAAGACTTTGATAGCCTTTTGTCACGGCATGGAGGGGTGACTTTAAAGAAGTGCAATGTTCTGTAAAAACTTAAACACTAGCACATCAGTCTCTGCAATTCGCTTTTAAATATTTGATGATCACTGGTCAGTATGTTTCTAGTCTGCAATGACATCTCCTTTAGGCATTTTTTTTCAACAGCTACATGAGTTAACATGAAAAAGAGAAAAAGAGGTGATAAAAAAAACCTCACACCAACAAGACCTCTCTCACCTCTACTTTATCCTGTTCAACTTTATTCTGCTCTTCAAGCTGTGTTTCTAAAAATGACAAGTTGCGAAACTTGATTAAATACGCGTCATACAGTTTCTGTAAGTCTTCCTCAAGTTTTTCATATTCATCCATATGCGCAGGTCTGTTTGAACAAAAGAAAGCAACAAGTGATAATTATTTAAAACAGAACATTTTAAAGGTGCGGGAGAGACTGAAAAATGCCTCCCAGGCAGATGCACTTGGACTCTGAAGGATGCCCTAAATTAAGTCGACTCTTACGAAATGCTTGTTGGGGAGGCAGTGGGTCTATTCTTCCCCCCCCCCCCCCCACCAACAGGGCCCCAGAACCAATACAGGAAGCGCCAGTTCCTCTGTTTATCAATGATAACTCTGCACTGTAGGAGAATATGAAATACACAATGTTGTGGCAAATACAGCTCATAAAATGCACCATGTCTCAGGACTGAATTATTTCAGCCATATCAGATGCTGAAAAGCTACAGACAGGACCAAAATTTAAGTCTATGAAGATTCCTATGAAGGCAGACAGACCAAATGAAAGACTGTCACAGTTTGCAAGAGGCCAAAATGCAGCAGGAGACAACTGAGGAAAAAACCAGTCTCAGAATGATGGACTATAAACATTTTTATGTGGACCATGTGGCAGAATGGAGGTCAGCTCTGTGGCTAAGTCGAAGCGAACGTTTCCTAATGCTGGGATGCCGGGTTCGATGCCAGCGACGGGCCATGCATCTTGCTTTGGTTTCGACAGTGGTATCAAGAAAGCCGACCGTCCAGAAAACAATGGCAATCAACTGGACATAAATTTGCTTAGAAAAACCACACAACAGCCAGGGGCTGTTGGGGTTGGTTCTGCAACGTCCTGTAAAGGATACGCAACTAATCAGATGTGGCAGAAACTTCCACTCCTGCATTGGACTCTACATACAGCAGAGGCTGTTCCAAAAAACAGCTGCAAAACTCCAAGGTCCCTATGGACTGACGGCTGCTTGCTAACTGTTAGATTCTGCAGTGCTTAAGAAAGAACAGTAACAGAAGGCATGGTTCTTAGGAGAAGATAAGTTAACCAATACAAATAGGACAAAGAATACTGCAGACAACTTGGTTATGAAAATACAAGAGGCAAGTACATACACAGAGCCACAGTAGTGTAGCCGCTAACAGCTAAGAACACAGGGCTCTCTTATGTAGGAGACCAAGGTTCAAATACTGGGTAGGGGGTTTAGATTTTTTCTGTCGGGGGCAAAAAGTAAATCCTAACATGCATAGTTTGTGGCGACAGCACAAGCCATGCAGCCTTAAATCCTTAGACAGAAAGAAACCCACTGCTTAAATGAAAATGCGCATTGTGGCAGATTTGTTTTTAAAATTAACCTTAGCTCCTAGGTCAAACCAACCTTAAATGGGTACCTAGTAATGTACTAGGAAGTAAAGGCGGCCAAAGTGATGGTGACTTCACCCACTGAGGGCGGATTGATCTACACACAACAAAAAATGGAGTCTAGCATAATATATGAGATGTGCTACTTGTGAATGTAAAAAAAATCTTTTATGCACTTTAAGTATTTACACCGGGAACTAAGAGGATACGAAAGGAGCTGTGTTCTGCAAAGGACATGCTACATGTCAATGAGGAATGGCATAGCAGATTGTGGCCTTTTTTTTAAATACATGAAGCAATAGTCACTTTTAGTATATGTTGATGACGAATGGAATAGCAGATTGTGGTTTTTGTTTTCTTTCTCATGAAGAGATAGCCCCTTTTTTAAGTACAGTGTTTCCTTCACAAACTCACAATTATCGTTAATTTTTATGAAGATCCCTGGGGGCTGGTGCTGGAGCTATGGATTTTGTGCTTTGTATGATGCTCTAGCCATTCTGTGGAGACAGACCAAGCCTCATGGGATAAAAACCAAGGCAATGAAGTCAATCCTCCCAACTTTTAATAGCAAAAAAAAACAATAATTTGTCTGATGGAGAAAAGAACAAAGAGATCAATACCAGGATGGTCTGGCTCTACATGGATGGGCAGGACAAGAACAAAGACCTGATCCATAATTCTAGTTGAGTTTGAGAGGAGGATAATCAATCCACTTACAATTATCAGCATGAAAAGAGATGATGGCCATATAAGTGTGAAAATTTCTTTTAAAATAAATATAACAAATAAAAAAGCAAGCAAGGAAATGTATAAAAAAGGACAGCAACAGAAATATGATTGGTCACCTGACATTCTGTAATGTTAGTACTCGCTTCTGCATCCTTTCCAGTTCTGCTTTCTTTTTCTCTATTTTTGCTTCTAAATTGGCTTCATCAGATGCAATATTATGGAGCATATTTTCTGTTTTCTTTATTTCATTCTGGAATAGGCATACAAATGATTACGGTAAAACTAAAATAAACAACCAGATTAGGAAAAAGTGAATATGGTTATGCAAAAAACAGGCAGTACAAATGAGAAGATAACATCAGAATATGGATAAACAGCAGAACTGCCAGAACTGTACAGTATCGATCCACTGTTGCCAATCTTTGATGTGGAGACGGCCTCTTTTTTATATCGTGTACACTTGGTTATGAGCTTAAAGCAGATGAATCTGACTGTTTGTGAGATCAGCATGAGAAAAAAAAAGCAAGCTATCAATCAATTCTTCAGACTATTTGGTCAACAGTAGTGTATCAATTTCAACACATGACTTTCAGATGAAATTGTCCCTGAATGGGTTCCTGACCCATTTTGAAGAAATGGGGAAGGGGAACAAACCCAAATCCCCATAAACTCATTGTAAAAGGTGACTAAATATGGTTTTGCTGAAACTGGATAAACTGGACCAAAAGGTGCAGATATTGCAGCCTAGCTGTAAACCACAACACAATGTAACAACTATCCTTTTAAGGCATACACTAAAGATTTGAATTTTGACAAAAATTAACTTCATCTTGATGTTTTATTTTTGGAAACAAATGCCTGAGGCAAATGATGAACATAATGGGATAAATTCAACAGCAGTGGAGAAACAAGAGAAATCTGGGCAGCCACTAGTATCAACAGTTATAAGATAGAGAAGATGGTGTTACACTAGACTCATTATTGGAAGAGACAAAGAGAATCACCAAAACTGTACTGGAATAGGAAATAGAGGGACTGAGGAAATGAGGATGTCCAACAGAAACCCTAAAACATGGAATGAGAGAAGCCACAAGGTGCTGGACTTATTCCATCCATGATACTCAAGTGATGCACAGGGTATAATGGAATAGAGAAATACACTGCAAGCCCCACATGACATATAACGGCACAAGAGGACAATCAATGACGTTTTACTTTAAATTAGTTTCTGGACTGCATTTAGTTAGAAATCTTCAGCTTTTCTTCTTCGATCCTTCTGTCTGAAAACACATCAGGGGGCCAGTAGCCTTTATGCGAGCTATTGTGCAGTGCAAATCTCCTTGTTTACCATACATCTTTGTCTTCATTCAGGTTGGGTTGCGCAGCTCTGTTGACAGTGTTGGAGCAGCTTCTTCTTCTTCGCGTTCACCGTCCATAAACTCTAGCGAAAAGTATTGGTTCTTCGTCCGCTTCTGGACTAGTCCTGTCCCAGAATCTGAGTGTTGCATGCACATCCATTTTACAGATCTTACTCATCTGTAGGCAAATTGTTGGTTCCTTGTCTTTCATGCAGAAATCTTGTGACTTTGAAGGAATCACTTAATTAGTTGACTCTTACAACATGCTTTTAGGGAGTCAGTGGGTCCGTTCTTGTTTTCCCCACAACATGGCTCTGGAACACACACAGGGTTATTAGTGATTCTATCGTACAACTTAATTCCTTCTATTCTGTGCAGATGTTAAATAATAATTCTAGTCTCTATATTTCACTGTGGAAACTGCCGTGGTCTAGCAGTTAGACTTTTTTCAAAAATAACTTTACCTCCTAGATCGACCCAGCTTTGAGTGGGTACCAGGTACAGTCCTGGGAAGTAAAGGTGGCCATGATGATGACCACATCACCCATCAAGTGCAGTTCAGTCTAAAAAATATAGGTTTGCCCTATATGCCCAACACGCATTAAAGGCAGGGAAAAGAATCCTTTTACTTTTTTATATCTTACTGTGACTACTTGGGGAAAGCAGGATTTATGTCTCAGCCTGGACAAATCTTAGTAGACACCAGCAATGGTAGAATTTGCTGCAATAATAGTTTTTAGTGAGTCACCATAGGGTAGCGGCTAGATACTTGCATGAGGATCCGAAGGTCATGAGTTCAAATCTGCCTGGTGGCAATTTTTTTTTTTGGGGGGGTGGGGGTGCTTCAAGGTCAACCCAGCCTTAAACTGGTACCAGGTAAAGTCCCGGGAAGTAAACACGGCCCGCGTGATGCTAACCACATCACTCACCGAGGACTGGCTGGTTTTCAAAAATATGAGTCTAAACTCATATGACTGATACACCACTGGAATGAAAAGGAACCGTTTTTAAAACATTTTAATTGTTTTTTAATTTAGAAAGCAAATGTTTGCCCAACATACCCTCACTGCTTCTATTGATGCTTGCAGGCCATGTTCAACTTCATTAATCTCTAATGCTCTAGCAACAACCATTGCACGCTGTTCCTAAACAAGAGAAGCACAAAAAAGGGTGCAAAACTTCATTACAGTTTAAACAATATGGATGCAGTTAAATAAAGGGCAGTTTTACTGTGGTCAAATTTGTTAACATACTTCTTCTAGAAAAGCTTCCTGCCATTTTATGATATCTGACACATTTAAATAATTTATTAAATATCTAAATTAATAACAGAAACAAAGACCAAAACCAGGGATAAAGTTGATTAAAGAGCAACAGATGAGATATTGTGGCCACGTTATGAGAATGTGCTGGAACCATAGAGAGCCATGCTGAAGAAATATAATCAACACAGAGCAAAGGAAAGACTGCACATAAGATGATGGCATCAAGAAGGGCCTTAAAGAAGTGAAGATCAGCTTATATGATGCACTGGAATTAGTACACAGAAGATCCTTACATTCCCCCCCCCCCCCCCCCCCCCCCCAACCCCTACAACTTTAATGTCGTAACTAGAGAAAGAGATGAGAAGAATAATAACAGACACTATTTATCCTCGCTGAATGGTTCTGGCCTGAATCAGGTAAGGGAGTTTAAATATCTAGGCAGTATGATCCCGGAAGATGGTAGAACTGACAGAGAAATATAAACCAGATGTCAGAAAGCAAGTGCACTTATATACCAATTGTCACTATTATTAAGATTTCCAAACATAACTATGAGACAGATTATAAACAGCATATTCATTCCAACATTAAGCTACCAGTGCCAAACATGGACACTGTCTAAAGCCCATGTAAGTTACTCACAGATGGTTTTGTCTGACCCATTCCTGCTTTTGTTCAGATCAGTTCATTCCCCTTACACAACCACACTTACTCTCAACCTTTTCTTCGTACATTTACTCTCAGATCAGTTTCATGCCCCTTACATAGCCCCATTAACTCTCAGATCAGTTTCATGCCTCTTACATAGCCCCACTAACTCTCAGAACAGTTTCATGCCTCTTACATAGCCCCACTAACTCTCAGATCAGTTTCATGCCTCTTACATAGCCCCATTAACTCTCAGATCAGTTTCATGCCCCTTACATAGCCACACTAACTCTCAGAACAGTTTCATGCCTCTTACATAGCCCCACTAACTCTCAGATCAGTTTCATGCCTCTTACATAGCCCCATTAACTCTCAGATCAGTTTCATGCCCCTTACATAGCCACACTAACTCTCAGATCAGTTTCATGCCCCTTACATAGCCACACTAACTCTCAGATCAGTTTCGTGCCTCTTACATAGCCATACTAACTCTCAGATCAGTTTCATGCCTCTTACATAGCCACACTAACTCTCAGATCAGTTTCATGCCCCTTACATAGCCACACTAACTCTCAGATCAGTTTCATGCCCCTTACATAGCCATACTAACTCTCAGATCAGTTTCATGCCCCTTACATAGCCACACTAACTCTCAGATCAGTTTCATGACTCTTACATAGCCATACTAACTCTCAGATCAGTTTCATGCCTCTTACATAGCCACACTAACTCTCAGATCAGTTTCATGCCTCTTACATAGCCACACTAACTCTCAGATCAGTTTTATGCCCCTTACATAGCCCCATTAACTCTCAGATCAGTTTCATGCCCCTTACATAGCCCCATTAACTCTCAGATCAGTTTCATGCCCCTTACATAGCCACACTAACTCTCAGAACAGTTTCATGCCCCTTACATAGCCCCATTAACTCTCAGATCAGTTTCATGCCCCATACATAGCCACACTAACTCTCAGATCAGTTTCATGCCCCTTACATAGCCACACTAACTCTCAGATCAGTTTCATGCCTCTTACATAGCCACACTAACTCTCAGATCAGTTTCATGCCCCTTACATAGCCATACTAACTCTCAGATCAGTTTCATGCCTCTTACATAGCCACACTAACTCTCAGATCAGTTTCATGCCCCTTACATAGCCCCATTAACTCTCAGATCAGTTTCATGCCCCTTACATAGCCATACTAACTCTCAGATCAGTTTCATGCCCCTTACATAGCCCCATTAACTCTCAGATCAGTTTCATGCCCCTTACATAGCCCCATTAACTCTCAGATCAGTTTCATGCCCCTTACATAGCCACACTAACTCTCAGATCAGTTTCATGCCCCTTACATAGCCCCATTAACTCTCAGAACAGTTTCATGCCCCTTACATAGTGAAGCAAACAGCTAAAAAGGTGTACCAGCTTTCAAAAATTAAAAACTTTCTTGACGAAAACACAAGAAAGATATTCTATATTTCTCACATCCAGATATATATAGACTATTGTTCTACAATATGGGATGGTTGTTCCAGTTCTGTTATCAAGAGGCTCACGTCTATGCAAAAGCGCGCCATTCGCTTAATAAGTAATAATCATAGGACAGTGAGTTCCGAAACGTATAAAGGTCTTATGCTACTACCGCTTCGTGAACGTCTACTTTTCAATAAGTCGAAATTTATGCACAAAATATTATCCCAAAAGGCTCCATGTTACTTATGGCCGTTGTTTAAATATAATGAAAGGCATAGTAATCGCCTGAACATATTACACATCCCTAAACCTAGGATAGACCTTTACAAAACATGTTTAGCGTACTCCGCAGCTCAATTGTGGAATTGTCTTCCACAACAGATCAAAAATAAAACTAGTCCCTATAGGTACAATCGAAAACTGTTTGAATATTATTTGAGCACAGATTACATGCCCCCATAGAGGCAAAACAGAAAAATGTTTTTGAAATAGCGCCTTTTTCCATAGATTTATAACAACCACTACGGTTTGTTGTAGTTAGAAATGTAGACATTTCAGTGCTTGTATTGAATGTTTTGATGCTTTTTATACTGTTTTATTACTTGATGTGTGAATGAAATGATGTAGGAATGGAGGGAGACCTCGAAGGGCAGAATGTAAGACGGGCCTGCGTGCCCAATTCTTAACCCTTTAAAAATAAAGTTTGTTCGTTCGTTCGTTCGTACACTAACTCTCAGATCAGTTTCATGCCCCTTACATAGCCACACTAACTCTCAGATCAGTTTCATGCCCCTTACATAGCCACACTAACTCTCAGATCAGTTTCATGCCCCTTACATAGCCCCATTAACTCTCAGATCAGTTTCATGCCCCTTACATAGCCCCATTAACTCTCAGATCAGTTTCATGCCCCTTACATAGCCACACTAACTCTCAGATCAGTTTCATGCCCCTTACATAGCCACACTAACTCTCAGATCAGTTTCATGCCCCTTACATAGCCACACTAACTCTCAGATCAGTTTCATGCCCCTTACATAGCCACACTAACTCTCAGATCAGTTTCATGCCCCTTACATAGCCATACTAACTCTCAGATCAGTTTCATGCCCCTTACATAGCCATACTAACTCTCAGATCAGTTTCATGCCCCTTACATAGCCCCATTAACTCTCAGATCAGTTTCATGCCCCTTACATAGCCCCATTAACTCTCAGATCAGTTTCATGCCCCTTACATAGCCCCATTAACTCTCAGATCAGTTTCATGCCCCTTACATAGCCACACTAACTCTCAGATCAGTTTCATGCCCCTTACATAGCCATACTAACTCTCAGATCAGTTTCATGCCCTTACATAGCCATACTAACTCTCAGATCAGTTTCATGCCCCTTACATAGCCCCATTAACTCTCAGATCAGTTTCATGCCCCTTACATAGCCCCATTAACTCTCAGATCAGTTTCATGCCCCTTACATAGCCCCATTAACTCTCAGATCAGTTTCATGCCTCTTACATAGCCATACTAACTCTCAGATCAGTTTCATGCCCCTTACATAGCCATACTAACTCTCAGATCAGTTTCATGCCCCTTACATAGCCATACTAACTCTCAGATCAGTTTCATGCCTCTTACGTAGCCATACTAACTCTCAGATTAATTTCATCCTCCCGATATGGCCACAAACTTAGATCAGTTTCAATCCCCAGATATAGCCCCATTTACTCTAATATCAAATTCATTTGCCACACAGTCTCACATACTTGTAAAGCTTAAATCTCCACAAATAGCCCCACTTACTCTCAGATCAATTTCATACCTATCACATAGCCCCACTAACACTTGAATCAGTTTCATTCCCCAGACATAGCTCCCACTTACTTTCACATCTTGATCCCCCAGTTATAGCCACCCCTTACTCTCAAATCTTTATTCCCCAGACATAGCCACCACTTACTCTCAAATCTTGATCCCCCAGTTATAGCCACCCCTTACTCTCAGATCTTGATCCCCCAGTTATAGCCACTCCTTACTCTCAGATCTTGATTCTCCAGTCATAGCCTTCACTTACTCTCAGATCTTTATTCTCCTGACAAAGCCACCACTTACTCTCAGATCTTTATTACATAGACATAGATTCTCCAGTCATAGCCTTCACTTACTCTCAGATCTTTATTCTCCTGACAAAGCCACCACTTACTCTCAGATCTTTATTACATAGACATAGATTCTCCAGACATAGCCACCACTTACTCTCAGATATTTATTCCCCTGACAAAGCCACCACTTACTCTCAGATCTTTATTCCATAGACATAGATTTCCCAGACATAGCCACCACTTACTCTCAGATCTTTATTCCCCTGACATAGCCACCACTTACTCTCAGATCTTTATTCCCCTGAGATAGCCACCACTTACTCTCAGATCTTTATTCCCTAGACAGATTCACAAGACATAGCCACCACTTACTCTCAGATCTTTATTCCCCTGACACAGCCACCACTTACTCTCAGATCTTTATTCCCCTGACATAGCCACCACTTACTCTCAGATCTTTATTCCCTAGACATAGATTCCCCAGACATAGCCACCACTTACTCTCAGATCTTTATTCCCTAGACAGATTCACATGACATAGCCACCACTTACTCTCAGATCTTTATCCCCCAATCATAGCTCCCCACTTACTCTCAGATCTTTATTCCCCAGTTATAGCCCCTACTTACTCTCAGATCTTTATTCCCTAGTCATAGTCCCCACTTACTCCCAGATCTTTATTCCCAAAGCCTTCACTTACTCTCAGATCAACTTCCTTTCCCAGAAGATCATACAGCTGTGCCCCTTTCACAGTGATTTCAGATGCAAGTTTTCTGGCCTCTTTCAGCTCATTTATCTGCAAATAAAAACCACACTGAATATACATAACAGTACAGCAATAACATCAAGTATATATTTATGTATCGTAAGTTCAGACCAAGGAAATGGAGGTTAGATAAATATGCAGGCAAAACCTCCACACATTTCAAGTCACAAAATGGAAAGAGAAGGCCGTTCACAGAAATGAATGGAGGTGGGTGACACTGCAGTCTAAATGGCTCAGAATCTGAGAAGAAGAAGAAGAGTAGGAAGAAAATGAAAAAGAAGAGGAAGAAGAAGAAAATGTGAATAAGCATAGTGTAAAGATATAAAGAATATAACATGAAAAATAAAAACTACATAAAAAAATTATGAAATAAGTCTGCCATTGCTCTTTGAATGATTCAATGCGCATATTATTGGGAAAATTGATGCCCAAGCAGTCTGATACAAAACAACCTGCAGCTGAACCCAACCGGTATATCAGAGTTATAAAACTGCATTCATAACCCTTAGGCAACAAACACTGATATGAATGCTTAACAGATCTGATTTTATAATCCTTTAATTAGTCGCCTTTTAAGACATGCCTGTTAATGTGTAGTGGGTCTATTTATTACCCCCTCCCCCCTATTTCCCCCAAAATGGGGCATCGAAACCCACACAGGAAAGTCTCTTCCTCTTTCTTAGCACTCACTGGCTGTAAACTCAGGCCGAAAATTATGGTTATTCATTCACTTCTGGACTTAAGTTGTGTTTCAAAACTTGAGTTTTACGTGCACATCTGTTTTACAGATCTGGATTATCGGTATACAGACTTGTTGGTCTCTCATTATCTCACAGATGAAGCATTCCCGACTTCAAAAGAAACATCCATAATTAATCGCTTGTTACGACAAGCTTCTTAGGGAGCGGTGGATCTTATTCTTCTTCTCTCTTTCTAATTTTGGTTTTTGAACCCAAACATCGGTTGTCCTGAAACCCACACAGGTAACGGGAAGTAAACTGCTAAAACCTCACAGTACAACTCACCCTGGATGAAATATCAAATGACACACTGGTCATATCAGCAGTCCCTGACTCAAGCGTGCTAGCCACATTTGTCTTGATTGCATTGTACAAAACTGTGGTGACTTTTAGTAACTCCTTGACGGCATAACCATCTGCCCCGTACAACTTTTTGGTGTTAAGCTTGATATGTGCTTTTGTGGCCTGGAAAATCATTGCAAACAATGTCTAAAAATACAATACTTACAACAACAAAACACTTACAAAATACATGCAAAAAGTGTGTGTATGTGTGTGCAACTGTATTTACATACTCATGTGTTTACATATTTACATACATACAAGCCAAAATAGCTGCCAGCAGCTGAAGAAAAAGGACACAGCTTTTAAAAAAAGTAGACCTCAGAAAATAAATGATGAAAATAATCACTGTTTTATAGAGAAAGTGAAGGTATGATGGAAGGTATGATGGAATGTATGATGGAAGGTATGATGGAAGGTATGATGGAAGAAATGATGGAAGGTATGATGGAAGGTATGATGGAAGGTATGATGGAAGGTATGATGGAAGGTATGATGGAAGGTATGATGGAAGGTATGATGGAAGGTATGATAGAAGGTATGATGGAAGGTATGATGGAAGGTATGATGGAAGAAATGATGGAAGGTATGATGGAAGGTATGATGGAAGGTATGATGGAAGAAATGATGGAAGGTATGATGGAAGGTATGATGGAAGGTATGATGGAAGGTATGATGGAAGGTATGATGGAAGGTATGATGGAAGGTATGATGGAAGGTATGATGGAAGGTATGAAGGTATCATGAGAACAAAATGCCATAGACCATGTTTTGTGGAGAAAGTGAAGGTATGATGGAAGGTATGATGGAAGGTATGAAGGTATCATGAGAACAAAATGCCATGGACCATGTTTTGTGGAGAAAGTGAAGGTATGATGGAAGGTATGATGGAAGGTATGATGGTATTATCAGAACAAAATGCCATGGACCATGTTTTGTGGAGGGGGCAGATCAAGAAGGGAATGAGAATGAAGGAAGGAAGAAATGATGGAAGGATGAGAGCTGAGCGTCTGAGAGAAAAAAACAGACTAAACACAAATGTTGATAACATGCTGTAATTGTGAAAAACTTTTCTTAACGCGGGCGGATCTTGCTAGTCACTCTCGCCATCGCCATGGCCTGCGAGTCCCAGGCCTCCTCATAGTGCAACATAACACTATCGTTTGCAAAGACGGAAAGGTGCCAATCAATCAAGAAGGTATGATGATGATGCTGATGAAAGAATAATAACACACATCTCCTGCCAAACTCTGAGATGGAGACTGTTGATAATGACATACCTAAAGCCAGTGGAAAAAGTTATCAGCTCAAGTATTTTTTTTTCAACCAGTCTCATGTGCTGTGGAAGCTACAGTGACATTGTGGCTCGACGCTTCTTTGCCAATCTAAAGGTCCTGGGTTCAAATCAGCATCATAGCCAATTTGTTTCTCTCCAAAACTGACATTGGTTCCCATACTGACCCAGCCTAAAATAAATATCAGGTAATGTTATGGGAAGCAAAGGGGGCCAGCATGATACTGACCACATCACCCATTGTGCTCATGAGTTTATAATAATTTAGCATCATATGCCTAAAGTTTCCCCATGTGGGTTCTGGGGCCCAACTTGGGGGGTGTGCACATAAATTATTATTATTAATATCCTACCCTAAACAAGGAAAAATCCACAGGTCACAGGACAGTCTAATATTTCAGAGGTGGTAGATAGGCTGCATGCAGTCGTGGGACCTAGGCTGCACTCTCTCGTGGGATGTAGATGGGTTGGGGTTAGGGCCAGTTCTAGATGTTTTGGGATTAAAAGCATCAGAAAGCCTGGAAACCCAGTCTTACCACCCTCTAAAATGTTGGACTATCCTGTGACATCATCTGGGGTAGGAAATTAATAAAGAACCCACATGACTACCAATACCACACGACATGGACTATTAGAGAAAGTGAGTGTCTAGCCATTACAATACCACTGTTGCTAATAAACAATGAAGTGCAAGTGAAGAATATATAATATAACAAGTCTACTTACCATGAACTCTGCCACGGTTTTAATGAAGATTACCCTGTCCTGTTCTGTATCAATGTCTATTCCAAGGTCCACATTTGGATCATATCTATTTGAAATAATTAGAGAATGAATCTTGCATACAGTAAAGGGCAGTCAGCATAACCATATGAGGAAATTAAACATAACTGCAATGTTATTTCTCATAATGAATGTCACTGAATAAATCATACATGAATCGACCAATTTTGTATACTGAATAATTAATGGACAGCTTAAAAGATCAATGATCAAATGCTACAGCAATAATGCAACATCTTTATGCGTCTACTGAATTGTATTAGGTTTTCTGAGAAAGGAGAAACTATTATTAGATTTTCATGGATATTTATGTTAATTCTTGTGCACCTGATAAACAGATGTTTTAACAAGTCACAAATTCAACATTTGTGATTTTACAACTGGAACAGATGATGTATTTTAACATATCTGTAATGAGTCATTTTCTCACTGTTAATGAATGTTCTCATCATTTGTAAATGAGGTTTTATACTAAACATAATTATGTACTTGAATTCGATTGAATGGTATCAAGCATAAAGGATAATGTATGCATCAAGTAATGAATATCTTGAGACAAGTGTGCAGGTTGGCTGAAAGTGTGCCAGATAAAAACAATAAGGAATCGTGTGTGGAAGGTTTGAGAATCCCAGAGGGAAACAGGCTATTTAAACTTAAAATGAATGAAAAGAGTAAGTCTTCCTTTCGATCTGGTCTTGTGGTGGTTGGAGTGCCAGAGCTCAACATATCCTGAGAAGAATGAGTAAATGTATTTAAGCCACTAGCCTGAAGAAACCTGGCTAATCAATCCATGACAACATGAAATGGAGGCGAGAATGTCGTCTGTGTGGTGCAGTTCATAAATGCCCATTTGGGAGCTGTGAAGTGCAAACATGAGGTGTACTGATTTAGAATCCTGCATAGTTAATGTAAGCAAGTAGATGCTTGCGAACATAGCTAGGTCCCTAGGTGATACACCTCTGGTGTATTGTTTGATGGAGAATAAACTGAGTCTTTATCAGCTGTCCAGTGTCTCTCAACGTTTGTTCCTGTTCAAGCTTGCTGTGTTGAAGTATCTGTCAATGTGTCAGAGCAGACTGCATGATTAGAGAAAAAGAGAATCACTGCAATATCTCCTTTATCTTCTTTTTCTGTGTTCTACAGCTGTGAATTTCCACAGAAAGTCCCGGTTGCCTGTCCACTTCTGAAGTTTGGTCTTTTCCTAGGATATTAGTGTTTTGTGCTCATCATTTACAGATGTGGCTAATATGTGTGCAGACTGTTGGTTTCTTGGCTCTCAGGCAGACTTAGAATGAAATGGCAATCTGTAATGGCCAGACAAGCTATTATTATTTTTAGAAAGCCTTATTTTTTTTCTATATTTTTTTTTTTAAGTTTATGTCTTTAATATTTTATTTGTGACATGAGTGACCTGTTATTTTTATATGGTTCCAATTACTGACAATATTGTAAAGTGAAAGCCTCACCTTTTCATTAACCAAGTTAAGCACTCGTATACAAGTTTAAAGTTTGGGGTTCTGAAGTTTTCCATAGAAATGAGCCGAGGAAACCCTAGGGCTCTCATCATCTCTGTGAAGTCTGACAATAAAGATATAACAAAACATTAGAATCGTAGCATGTGTCTATATGTACAGCACTGAGTTTAAAACATACATTACGCTGTCAATAAATACTTCTGTGTTTATCTATTTGTGTTTGTGAGGTACAAATTCAGACACTGGCTCAAAATTTTGGGCCTACAAAACAAAATAAGAAGAGCAAGAGGGCAGCATTCAAACCTTCAAAATGCAAACAAAATATCTTTAATGTTGTAGAACCTGGAAACATCATGGTTGGTACATATTATTATGTTCATTAGTACTACTACAGCTGAATGAACATCTTTCATGTAACATTGAAACTCAGATAACTAGACACTCCTACGAATGGTGACCCTAGGGGAGGATGTAATCGATTATAACGTGACATTTTATTTACTATAGGGGACATAATCTATTCTTTGTGAAAGTTCACATAATAATAACATTCTTTCATATTTAATACTGTTTGAGGTTAGGGTTTGGGTTAGAGTTAGGGCTAACCCTAATCTATAGAAATATTAAATATTACAGAACATTGAGTTGAGTTAAGAAATGACATCACAGAACTTGGGGCATTCCCATATGTGCTCTGTCCTCATCTTCAGCAGCTAGTGCAGAGTTTCAATACTGATGGTACCGATCACAATCAGGTTATATGTCCGTTCTGCCTTTCCTCTGAGTATAGTGAGCCGGCCAGACCCTTTGGTTACACTCAGGTGCCTCATTCTCTCCAGGTCATAATAATCTTGTTTCTCTACTGCTTCTGTTGCTTGTTTCCAAAGGGTCTTGACCACATCTGCCTTGTCATGTATGAATTCACCACCCAGTGGTGCAAATCCAGCTAATCTGTCTGCCTGTTCATTTCCCACCACGCCGGCATAGCCTGGAGAACATCATTATGTGAATGTACACAAACTTCCTTATGGTAACCATTAAAAAAACAGAAGATTGCGTCCGCCTAGGGTCACCGTTCGAAGGAGTGCCAGTACAATCTAACTAATTGGTTGGTACCAAGGTATACCATATGAAGCTGGAAAATTAAAACATCAACTAACACAAGTGTTACTACTAGCTGTGGTAAACGTAACTCAAATCTCACCAGACAGACAGCCCTGCCTATATACACACTAGGTCACTTTTGATTAGTAGTTCCTGAGCCTAGTCACCTTCGCACAAGGTTACGGAAGTGTTCCGCCATACCATTGACATTGCGTGCTGTATATTTCAGCACACCAGTGCTTTCAACAATCCAAAAACATGGAATACTGGCCCTAACACAACACCCCAACAAGAGTGCTGCAACCTATGACAAAGGCATTCTCTTTCTCAGAATGAAAACGTAAATGCAAAACAACACAGAAAGCGGCTATTTTCCAAATAAAGGACACATATTATGGCGGCCAAAAACACACCCTAACAGGACCAAAGTCTTGTGTAAATTGCGGACTTCTAACGACTTAAATTGCGGACTTCCGGCGACTACCACTACCGCCGAGAGTATCTCCCACACCGCTAGGCGCGGCATGGAGCGGGGCTAAACTAGATGGCTGGGACTCATGAGCAGCAGCCAGATCCCCTAGTAACTCCTATTAGCACCATTCTCCTCAGACCATAAAGATCTATTTGTGCCTCCGCACTGTTCACTCGTTCCCAAAGGGCCCTCCCAACATCTGGATTGTCATACATCATTTCATCGTCGAGTGGTGCAGAACCAGCCAGTTGATCTGCCTGCTCATTTCCCAACACACCTGCATGCCTTGAGAAAATATCCAAACGCCGCTAACTACCTAGGACATCTGATTTATGACATCCTTTTATTGCAACTCCTACAGCTTCCTTAATTTTTTTTGCTCGTGAGTCCCAGCCATCAAGTTTAGTCCCGCTCCACGCCGCACATAGCGGCATGGGAGATACTCTCGGCGGTGGCAGTAGTTGCCGGAAGTCCACAATTTATATGTGACTGAGGCCCTGCTATGGTGTGTTTTTAGCCGCCATTATATGTGCCCGTTATTCGGAGGATAGCCCAGAAAGCAAACGGCAGACAGAGCGGGACACACCTGTAACCTTCAGCAAAGTCAAAATACCTAACATTCTGAATGAAAAGTGACCTAGTGCGCAAATGGGCGGGGCTAACTGGGGAGATTTGTGTAATGTTCACCCTAACTTTAACTACTGCTATATTATTATTAGAAGTAAATCGCCTGAAACCTCGTTCAAATAGCCGTATAAGTTATAACCCTGTTGTATCAGAGTCCTGTGCTGAAAAAAAAAACATTTTTATTAGTTAATAACTGACATCACTGTCATTCCCGTTCCGAATACTATAGCATAGACACTGATCAGATGCACGTCTGTAGCTTGGCTTGGCTTTTTATACCCCACCAGGACATCACACAAGCGATAAACACCCGATGACACAAAGTGCCACCATGCGGATGAGGATCACCGTGGAGAGGTCCCAGAAACCGCGTTCAGACATTTGGCCATAATGATGACCTGCCTATATTGCGGCCCCTGGCAAAAGCCAGAGTGGGGCTTCAAATAACAAAAAATAACGTCCTAAGAAGGACGTACGACTAGATGCTACCATTTGTAAGCACGTCTGTAAAACGTACCGTGCGTTTTGACTTGAACTAACCAATACTAATATCAATGAATGAAATTGAAATAAATTATGAACAATTATATTCATGCATACTTCTTAGATCCTTGAAACTCATTCTGGTTAAACCGATGGCACCAGCAACTAGAGATAGTCGTTTAAAACAAACACTGGAGTCATATAATCATGTGCGTTCAAGAGTGCCTCTCTGAAGCAAGGAATGTTATTTTCTACGAACGCCACCTATAAACTAACGTCTGCACCATGGTGAAGTCACAGGGGGGACAACTGCCATCGTCAATTCGTCCTTCAATCAAATAGAAGCTCTTTTGTCTGCGTCTTTGCGATTAGAGAAATACGTTTTATTTGTGAGTTTGAATGCAGCTATAATAAAAAAAAAATTTAAGTATAAGGTCGAAATGCTTGGGGTTCATAGCAAAAGCGAATGAACGTCGCTTAGTACAGCAAAGCCTGGCATATTTTATCACAACGCATAGTTTGGGAATGGCAGTCACTGCTGCATTCCGCTGGCTTGAGAATCAGATGTACACCCGTGTCGTAATTGTAACTGACTCACATGGAATGTTCAGATACGTGGAGACAGGCAGAATCCGAGCAGGGTGGCAAGCATCGCTTCAGAGGTCCTGGTTATTTAGCGTCTTTTGTTTTCTCCAAGTATGCCAGTGTGCTGGAAAACGAGCAGAAAGATCGACTAGCCGGTTCTTCACCACTTGGTGATGAACTGATGTATGGCAATCCAGATGCTGTGAGGGTCATTTGGGAACGAGTGAACAGTGCAGAGGCACACATAGATCTTTATGGTTCGAGGAGAATGTCGCTGTCAGTAGTTACCAGGGGATCTGGAAGATGCTCAACACCTAAGGGGAAAGTGGCACGGATATACTATCAAACAGTTACTAGTGCCATCGGAACTGGAACTCTTCGCTTGCTGCTGATGCTTCTGTCAGTTCAAATCAAAATAGATAAACGTAATAGGGTATGTAATCGGTAAGAAGCAAAGTAACGATGCCTTTTCATGGTTTTGTTGCATTGGGTATATAATGCCGGACAAATACATCACGTCGGATGCCTTTACTTCCCAGGTCATTAAATGGTACTTGTTTTAGGCTCGGTCGACCAATGTCAGTTCTGAAAAACAAAATCGTGATTTTTGCCTTATGTTAGAGGGCTGGTCTCCAATCTGCCCCCCCCCCCCAACCCCAGGGGGCATAAAGCAGTTAAGCAGTTTTGTATGTCCTAATCTGTCCTAAAAAAAACGTTTTTGTTTCCAGTATAATTATAAATCTAAAAAAAAAAAAAATTTAAACTGTTTATAAAATAAAAAGGCAAGGAAGTATTTTTGCCATGCGCAGTTTGTACGTGTACCGTGAAACTGTTATCAATATGATAGTGGGTATATTAACTCAAAGATCAAGAACACATTCTGACAAAAATATATCTCCATACTTTCTGCTTCCTTTGTTGCGGAATCTATCGCCCTCATCGTTTTAATCATATTTTGTTATGGTGGGGCGGGGAGGGGAGTGTAAATAAAAAAGGGGGGGGGGTATTTTTGCCATGCGCAGTTTGTACGTGTACCGTGAAACTGTTATCAATATGATAGTGGGTATATTAACTCAAAGATCAAGAACACATTCTGACAAAAATATATCTCCATACTTTCTGCTTCCTTTGTTGCGGAATCTATCGCCCTCATCGTTTTAATCATATTTTGTTATGGTGGGGCGGGGAGGGGAGTGTAAAAAAAAAAGGGGGGGGGGTGGCTTGCCAAATACTTAAGGAGAATGGGGGAGGGCGCGAGAGGACCTGGCATACCAAATATGGGAGGGGGCGTAAGGGTGTTGCCATATCCTCAGGGTGGCGTCAGCTGGGGAAACAAACGATTGGGGACCACTGTGTTAGAGGAGCAATATTTTAACTTCTTAAAAGGCCTGTATTCTGGGAATTTCACCTTTAGGAGAAATATATATCAAATGTAAAGTATAAAACACTGCTGAGTTGAGCTGAAGCCCAGAGAATAACTAAAACAATTATTAATACACTTGTTGTTGTTCTTCTTCTTCTTCTTATTCTTCTACTTCGTCTTCTTCAGCATTCCTAGCCCTTGAGGTTCATTGTTGCAGATATCACCCACCTCCCCTCATCTCTGATTGGCCTTCTCTTTCCAGTTGCTAACATCAAATATTAATACACTAAAAACATTTATTAAGTGCTTTCCTAATATCCTACTCCAAATGGGAGTAGGTCACGGGACAGTCAAATATTTCAGGGGGTGGTAGATAGGCTGCATGCAGTCCTGGGACCTTGACTGCATGCAGTCATGGGACCTAGGCTGCACTCTCTCGTGGAATGCAGGTGGGTTAAGGTTAGGGCCAGTTCTAGATGTTTTTTGGTCGTTAAAAGCATTCGAAAGCTGGGAAACCCAGTCTTGCCAGCCTCTAAAATGTTGGACTGTCCTGTGATGTCATCTGTTGTAGGATATTACGAAAGAGCCAAGAGGAATGATATGGTATAATAGAATCGCTTATATAGAACTTTGGGAGAGAACTACGCAAATTCGGGGGAGTCGAGATGTGAAGAAAAGATGCTGATGCTGGATATGACACACATTGAGAAAACGTAAGAATATTGCTAGAATGTCGTTGCACTAGAACCCAAGGAATTCCAGAGAAATTTGACTAAAAAGCTCAACAAAATGGGGAAGCAGAAAAACGTGAACAAAACAACACAACGTAACATTTCGGCCGGGCAGCCTTTTTCAAACATAAGTGAACTACACAAACGTCACAACGAGGAGGGGAGAGTATGTAGATCTCTAAGGGGTGACGTGAGCAACGTTTAAAAAATGTGATGTGGAATAAATGAAATAAAATAAACGATGGTTAAAAAATATAGTCACACAAAAATTATAAACAGTTACAGTAGTACTGTTAATATATAATACTGGGAATAAAAGAAATACTTCTTCTTCTTCTTCTTCAGCGATCTCTGGTCATGCGCATAATCCACTGTGGGTCATAAACTGGGATGTCTTTTCAAGGTCTCTTAGGTTTCCCCAAAGCTTAGTTGTCAGTTCTACTGGGTGTTGCCATATGTCGCTCCGCAGCTCCGCCAGGAGAGGACAGTCTTGCAGGACATGTTCTGGAGTCTGTTCAGCACGAAGACACTGGCAGAGAGCTGTTTGGCTCATACCTAATTTATATGAGTGTTTATTGAGTCTGCAGTGTCCAGTGCGTAAGCGAAAAACTGTGACTTGGTCTGTTCTGTTCAAGTGCCTCAGAAAATCTTTTCCGTAGTCATAACCAGTGTTGTTTTTCCAGTCTGTTTCTGATTTTCTCTTAATGAGAGTTTTGACTTCAGGAAAAGATAGTGGCTGGTAGGTCTGTAGTTTGTTACTGCCTTCCTTGGCTAAAGCATCTGCGCTTTCATTGCCTTTGATGCCTCAGTGAGACGGAATCCACTGCAAGTGAATTTCTGCCTTATTTGACAACATAGCAAGTTCCTGTGTTATACTTTGTAGTGTGCTGTCGGTAGTTTTGGACTCAAGGGCCTGTACAGCTGACAGTGAGTCAGTGAGAAAAACTATCCTGCCTGCGGTGATTTGCAGATTGTTCATATACTGTGCTGCCATCAATAGAGCTGAGAGTTAAAAGAAATACAAATGTTAATGATACATAAATGATACTGATAAGAAATAGAAAAAGTAATAATATGAAATAAAAGAAAAGAAAAGAAAAGATTAACATTTAAAATGTGATAAGAGTAGAACTATTTAGTTGAAGGTATGTTCGATATTGATACCACCTGGACTAAGAACGCCTAAGCTGTGGATGAGGCGTTTTTCCAAAGCGAGGCGCGAAGTATGATCGCCAGAACAAGATTTTAATGCTGTGACAGATATATCATCTTTACCTCTGTGGTCAGAGCTATTAAAATGGAGAGGGACTGGTTTAAGTGTTTTCTTGTCAATATCGGAGAGGTGTTCCCGGTAAACGATCAGCTAGTTTCCGGCCAGTTTCCCCAATGTATGCCTTGCTGCATCGTTTGCAGACAATTGCATAAATTACGTTGCGGGATTCGCAAGTGAAAGGTGCCATAAGTTGGAAAGAACCATTAGGGAAACTGACCGAAGAAGTCTGGACAACAAAAGGACATGTTCTGCACGTGCTGGGTGAGCATTCAGTAGTCCCAAAGGGAAGTGCTGTGTGGATCGGCGGTAGACTACACACGCGCACACACACAAAACCACGAGAAGAGAGCTAGAGAGCAAAGTTAAACAGACAGGAGGACATGGGAAGAGCTGCATGCGATAGCAAAGAAAAAGGCGACTGGGCGTTGACGTAGTTGAGGGCCTATGCCCCACCAGTAACAAAAGGGTAGAAGATTATGCCTAACGTGCATTATGTTTTTTTCAGCTTGTTTCTTTCTCTCAGTTTGAGCAGTATTTGATTATTTTCTGTTTAACGACATCACGCGCGATTTACAAAAATCTATATTGTAGGGTGTTTAGGGTTGGTAGTAGGCACCATTCATTTAACACTAACACTAACCTAACTAACTTCCCTCCCCTTTCTTCCTTTTCCATAATATGGGATGTCCCTAAATCTCGCGTGATGTGGTTGCTAAACAGAAAAGAACCCAGTATTTAAATAAATAAACTGTAAATAAGGGTTTGTGAGAATTTTCTGGATTTTTTCTATCCACTGATATGTGATAAGGGGTTTTGATTTCGTAGAAGACAAGTCAGTATGTCCCAGTCATTTCAGTCAATTAGCTCTCATGATGCCAGTGATCAATGGTGATTTCAATAAATTATGAATTTCATTGTTGCTTCTCAATCTTCATTCTCCACTGTTTGCATCTTTAATAGGCCCAAAGATTTATCTAACTCTGTTGAAAAAAAAAATATAATAAGGTTTCATCTCTTTTAGTTGTGGTCCAGGTTTCAGAGCCATATAAAACAACTGGTCTTATCGTCTGATATATTTTGATTTTGCTGTTGCAAGACAGAGACTTTGACTTTAGCTATTGTTCAAGAGCATGTATACTTGATTTTCACATTGTATTCTACGCCATCTTGACAGTGACAAGTCAGAAAGAACTATCCCCGTGTGGGTTCCGGGACCCCATTGTGGGAAAACAAGAATAGACCCACTGCCTAACCAAAAGCATGCCGTAAGAGTCGACTAACTGGGAGCTTCCTTTGAAGTTGGAGTTCATCTGCCTGAGAGGCAAGGAACCAGCAGTCTGCATTCAAGTGAATCAGATCTATAAAACTGATGCACACGCAACACTCAGGTTCTGGAGCAGGACTACAGTCCAGGAGTAGACGAACAACCATAACTTTCCGCCAGAGTGTACAGCCAGTGAACGCGAAGAAGAAGAAGAAAGAACTACAGGAATTAATAGATACGGTGGTGGCAGAAAGTGATAAAATGGTCCTCAGTTTGAATAATGGGAAGACAGAAGTAATGGTGATGTCCAAGAAAAGAATAGTGCATGAATGAATAAAAAGAGTCAAAGGCGTATTTTAGAACAAGTGCAAACATTTAAATATCTGGGCACATGGATAACATCTGATGGAAGATGAATCACAGAGATAAACAGAATAGGACAGGCCTAAACTGCCTTTAAAAAGAATGAAGAACATTTTATGCAATAAATCCATGTCATTGGAGGTTAGGAAAAGAATTATCGCAAGCCATGCAGAGCCGGTTTTAACACATGACTGTGAATCATGGACAATTAATAAACAAGTCGAACAATATCTTGAGGCCTTGCAGATGTGGTTTTACAAAAGAATCCTTGGAATTCTTTGGACAGCTAAGAAGAGTAACCCAGATGTTTTGAAAGAGGCGAATGCTCAAAGAAACTTATCACAAACATCAGAAAGAGACAGTCATCATTTTCTCATGCTATGAGAAGAGGGAAAATGGCACGGAGGGGTGTCAAGGCACGAACTGATACATGCATTTGTGGATGGCAGACTTTGGAGAGACATGATCTCCTACACCAGTCGTTAAAGCACTTGATGATGACAATTCTAGATTGCATTTCTTCTCTCAGCATAGAATGTAAGAAGTAGTATTTAATAGACTCTCTAGAATGATTCTGCTTTAGATCTTTCTAGGAAATGATCATAACAAATTGTGTCAAATGTTCGTACAAATGCTGATTTCCTGACTTTGGCACTTTCTTTGAACTACAATCTGCTGGTATTTATTCAAACTCTGACTCTGCTCAGTAATTAGTGCAGCAAGTATGTAGATGTGTTTATATTGGCTGTGACAGTTTTTTGCTAGGATATCCTCAGGACCAGCAGCTCTCCCATCCTTCAAGAGGTCGATATTTTATAATTCACTCCTTAAATGGTATTGCACGGCTGACATTCAGCTCCAGTTGAGATATACTGTTTTGAATATTTTAAGATCAATCTTTCACAGGTGTTTACACTTTTTTATACTTCATGAGAAAAATAACACGACAAAAACTAATTCCAAGTGAAATTTTTTATTTAAATCTTTGTCACTTCATACAAAACACAGTACACTAAATGAAACTAGGAGGTGTTAACAAACTGATGTACATACAAACTTCTACCTGCGGACACTTTCAGGAACAAGATATATCTGCTGCAAACTTTCTCCCCCACTGACCTTTTCAGTTTTTTCTTTACACGGTGACAACAATGACTTCTTGTTCTAAGCTGTTTGGATGTTGTAGCCTCTTTCCAAACATTTAAATAATAACACTGAATGTCCAAGGAACTCAGTGTGGGTTCCGGGGCCCCACTGTGGTGAAAACAAGAAATAGACCCACTGCCTATCAATAAGCATGTCCTAAGAGTCGACTAATTGGCAGCTTCCTTCGAAGTTGGAGTACATCTACCTGAGAGGCAAGGAACCAACAGTCTTTATGCAAATGGGTCAGATCTGTGAAATGGATGTGCATCTAACACAGTTTCTGGACAGGACTAGAGTCCAGAAGTGGACGCGAACAGCCAAAACCTTCCACCGGAGTTTACAGTCAGTGGACAGAAACAAAAAAAAAGAATGGCCAGAGAAGTGCCAGCATTATTTTGTAGAAACTCATCATTCTCATTTACTGACTGCCAAGAATCCACAGCCATATGCTGAAAATTGTTTCTATGTAACTAAAAAGAATTATCTGTATAACATCCAAACAAACGGATTTATTATGGAAAGAATGTGTCTGCCTGATGCGTAATATATCTTCTTTCAGATATCATGTGCCTAGATAAGATGTCTGTCTGTACTGTCTTCAAGTCAAGGCCCATTTTTATCCATTTCTACAGACATTTCATTAAAAGGCAAACAAAGACTATAAACACAACAATCATGAAGCTTTCCTGTCAGTCTAATTCAACAATTTTTCTGTGAATGGTCTCTGTGCTACTATTTTCTGCATGTGTGGTATCTGGAGGTTTCAACTTGTCCATGTTATGTTCAACCAATGTCTTGATTTCTTCAACATCTTCAATTTCAGACTGTCTAGTTTCTGCACACAAAAAAACAACAACAATGAACCAAATAACAATGTTACATTAAGAAATCACAGACATATACAATCATCAGTCAATATTAATTCATTGGCACCTTTCCGTCTTTCCATACAATGGTGTTATACTGCGCTATGAGGAGGCATGAGACTCACAGCCCATGGCGATGGCCAGTGTGACTAGCAAGACCCGCCCGTGTCAAGAAAAGTCTTCCACAATGATAGCATGGGATTTCAGGGCCATTGTTAACAACATTTTTGTTTAATCCGTTTCTTTTCAGATGCTCAGCTCTCATCCTTTCTGCAATCATTTCTTCCTTCAGTCTCATTTCCTTCCTGATATGCCCTTTCCACACAACACGGTCCATGGCATTTTGTTTCCATGAGTCTACCTCAATACCTGTATAATTCATGTCCCGCTTGCACACATCTTTATAACGTAGTAGAGGATGGCGTCGACATCTTCTTCCTGTCTTTAATTCACCATAAAGGATGTCCTTAGGGACTCTGCCATCCTCCATTCTTCAGGTGTGACCCAGCCACCTGATCCTTCATAGACTGAGCATGGAAAAGACTGTCAATACTAAAACACATAAAAAAACCATGGCTACATTCTACCAAATATTCTTCTTATTTCGACTTGTATCTCCAATCAGAGTAGCAGCTTCTAACCTTTTTCAAGTGCAGCCCCGTTTAAAAAAAAGAAAAGTGACCTGCCACCTCATAAAATAAAAATATGAAACATCGAAAATAGATTTTCTGTGCAGGTCGTAATGACATGATCCCCCCCCCCCCCCTTGAAACTTTCACAGCTCACCACCGTCTGGTGACCCTAGAGAAAACCCTTTGCACCTTCCTGGGGGGTCACAATCCATGGGTTGGGAACCCATGCATTACAATACAAACTCTCAACCAACTAAAGTCAAATCCTTTGTAGAGCTGTTCATGTTCGGACTGTGCAAACACCCAGATCAAGAGCATATCATGGATTTTCTGTCCAGAACATTCAAATTGGCGAGTCAATGAGCAGCCTGATTGATCAACTGCTGCCACTCCTCTGGTGGTGAGCTACTATAAGATAAGGTGGATATGGTAAAGGCTCTATGGGATCAAACGGACAGTGCAACAGAACAGATAGGGAATCCATACACTGAAGACTAATTTAACAGGGGGTTTGTAGAGGTTCTGGGAGATATTTAACACTGAGGGGGAAATGGAGACATGCTGCTAATCTGGTTGCAACTGGTACCATTAACATGTCAACTCTTCACTGGCCACTGAAGAAGGGGTGCAGCATGTGTGAGAATGTCCATTCTTGATTCATTCATTCAGTGTGTAACTATGGAAAAATGTATCCAGTCTCCTTAGTCTTAGAATGTACCGGGTAGGTTACAGCAAATTGGGTACCAGGTAAAGTCCTGGGAAGTAACGATGGCCGGCATGATGCTGGTCACAAAATCCCCCGAGGACCAACTGATCTACAAATACAGGAGCCTGGCATCACATGCTAGATGTGCTACTTGTGTGAAAATTGTCTTTCATATTCCTTACTTCTCTTTTTAAAACTTCTTTTAATGTTGATGCTTTTTTTTAAAATGACATATTATGATTAATCAAAAATTGGTTTCAAACAAATCTAGCTGTAGCACTTCTTTGATGAAAACATTTACTGTCTCAGTAGTAACATTTATGAGATGGTAGGCACCACCTTACAGAAAGCAAATACTGCAGCCATTGACTGACAACTAGGGCCGAATACGAATAGCTGGACCAACTATTCGGCCGAATACCAATACGAATAGTGAATCATCATCATCATTTGCTTTGCCGGCTGGCATGGGCAATTATGCCTCGCCACAATCTGCGATCTCCTGCAGCACGTATTAGTTCGTGTGCTGACACACCTCCATGAAAAACCTTCGTTCCATGTTGTCAGCATTAGGCCAGCTTTTTGTCTCACTGAAGGTATTTCCAGCTATACCAAACAGGAAAATACGACAAATACAGAGAGTCAAAATGAAAACCCGCAAGGCGAAACATCAAAAACAAAAATAACACCGACGAAGAAAACAATGCCGTCCTTACAAGTCGTCCAGCCCCCCGCGAGCTCACGAAACCAGACGCCGGGCAGCCAACGCCAGAAGATCAAACAACAAAGACAACGAAAAAAACGAACGTCGACCAAAACATTCAGCCGCTGCCGTTTCCACGAGACGACAAAAGAACAGTTACGACACCCATAAATGATGACGAACTTCAATTAATTCAAATAATCAACGAAGAGGACACTCCACTCAAAGAAATCAAGCCGACAACACTAGAACACTTGCTTTTCTGTCCCTCTTACATTTTTAAGTGTTGCATTTTGTTTCTACAGCAACACACCTAAAAACACTATACTCGCAACACATACAAGACGGAAATAAAGGGGCACTTGGTACGCTCGTAGGTGGTGCACAAAGATAACGCTTCCCAGTATAAACCAAGGTGGGAAATCTTGATGTTTTTTTTCCACCAGTCCAGAAACGGTTGTAAGGTAACTACTATTCGTATTCGGCCCGACCGCAACTATTCGGCCGAATACCGAATAGTTATTGGGTCCACTATTCGGCCCCGAAGCGAATATTCGGTACAGCCCTACTGACAACCCAGACTTTCTCTAGATAAGGCAATGGGAAAAGAGGACAGATAAAGAGGAGGAGGTTGGGGAGAAGAAGAAGAAGAAGAATAACAAGCATTACCAATCTCAAACTGCAACATGGGCAGTAACTGTTGCACTGAAGTGCCAAAATGCTGAATCCAGCTCAGCAGAAACATCAGCTTTTTCTCTGCCTTGAACACTTGTGACTTCAGAGCTTTCAACTCAGTCAAATTTCTGCTTTCAGCCTCATCATGACTTTTCAGTTCTGTAATGACAAAGATTTCTGACAGTGATTATTTAATTTTGAGTAAACATGCACAGCAAAAAATGATCTGCTTTCTAAACCTTGAAAATGTTTTTTTTCTGTGTTTTTTTTTTTTAGTGTTTCAAAAAAATTGTAAATTTATATTTCTACGTTGTTGCAACATTTCTATTTCAGCATTACAATTTAATTTTCTGATCTCTAGACTTTTTCTAGAGCTGTGGAAGATTAAGGCCTACACATTCACATTGTGTGTGTATATGCGTGCACACACACACACACAAACTAAATGCCATAGTTCGAGTTATATACAACATGACATATACAACATAAAAACTTTAGAAGCAGTGACGGTTATGTTTCCATCCTGGTAGGCAACAGAACAATCATTTCAATCGCATGAAGTATTCAAGTGCGAGTTCAAAGCTTCAGAACAATCATTTCAATCGCATGGGGTATTCAAGTGCGAGTTCAAAGCTTCAGAACAATCATTTCAATCGCATGGGGTATTCAAGTGCGAGTTCAAGGCTTGGGTGCTGAATATTTACCATCATCATGAGATTTTGATGGATTCTCTTTTAGTCTCCAGTGTGAAAAGTATGTGGTCTTCAGCAGACATTATCACATTACAGTGACCAAGAACTTTAGGGAAGTGAAGAGAAATCACCCCATTCCAACGCCATTTTCCAACCAGCAGAATATTAGGAGGGTAAGCTGTTGAAATCATTTCAGTCTAATCATCGGTATATGTTTTCCTCAATGTTTCAGGGTTAAATTCCTGTGGTTGGCAGTTAAAAAAAAAGATTACATCCTTGTGACCTTCAGATAGTGATACGAGAGGTGCATTGTGGAAGAGAATGGTGGCCTCACCACGTAATATCCCCCAAAACAACAGTGGCTGCAATGCAGCCAACCAACACTGTGGAGACAACACAATGTAATTATCGTATTTTTCCCTGTATAAGGCGATATGATATGTTTTCTTACATTTTTTTAAAGTTTAAAATTGGGGGTCTCACAATGTGATTAAAATATTTATTTCTTAATTTTGGGCTAAAAAAGGGTTGTCTTATACATGGGGGTGTCTTATACACAGACAAATAAGGTAATGAGAATATTAGGAAAAAAATATGCCCAGCTACCCTTCACTGACTGGAAATGTATTGTTATGTGTATGAGTAGGAAACTGGCAGCCTTCCAGATGGTGGCCGTCTGCAGACAGATCTTTCTCAGATGTCTGACAACATGACTAGCATGGTAAGTCCCAACACCTTTGCTTCCTTGGTGGGCCCTTATTCAAAGCAAGCATATTCATTCCCACCCTATGCTACCTGTGTCAAAAATGGTCACTCGAAACAAACCAGACCAACATTTTTTTTAAAAATACAGAAATTAGGTCATAAGAGAAAAAGTTAGCACAGAACCAATTTGAAATTACACACAAAGACAGCAAATCAAATGGTTCGCTCACTTAGAAAGAAGGCCTTGTGATGCCATACAACACAAGGCATACACCAAAAGAGAAGGATGTAGAGCACAAGGTAGACCAATGGAAAGATAACATCAGAGAAACTTTACAACAGTATGATGTGTCTATGGTCAAGGTGGCCAGAAGAGCAGAAAAAAAAGCTGAACTTTATATCTTCCTTAACACCCAAAGCAACAAAAAAAAAGTGTAGAAGAAAAGGATGGCAGGCCCTGGTGACAAAGTTCAATGTACGTCCTCTTCCGAATGTCACAAACCAACACCAGGATCCACTGTCTCCTGTGTGGTTTTACTAGGCAGTTTCGGCATTCAGTAGTTTGCCTTTGCTTTCTTAATGGTATAGTGCTCATATCTTGTCGAAATCAATACAAAGTGGTCGGCTACAGCCTATTATGTTGATGTTAAACTGTGTTCATAACCCCTAAACCTTTTATGCTGAGTAGTTATGGCTTATATTCTTCTTCTTTTGTTAGCTTGAAAAAGACCTTCTATATTTGCAATGTTGTCTCTAGTATGAACTTCACTGTCTGTTGTAATTCAATCAGCGACCCATTAAGTTTGGCTTGCACCAATGTTTCTCTTGGCCAAATATTTTGCCTTGGTATGTTGTATTTGGGACAGTCTTGGAGGACGTGATGGCCTGTACTGGAATTTAAAAAAAAAATCATAATAAACAAATTTCACACCATAGCTCTTAGAATCAGGGCACGGTAGAAAGAAATTGAAAACAAAAGGTCAACAGACAATGTTACAGTCAACAGACAATGTTACAGTCAACAGACAATGTTACAGTCAACAGACAATGTTACAGTCAACAGACAATGTTACAGTCAACAGACAATGTTACAGTCAACAGACAATGTTATGGTCAACAGACAATGTTACAGTCAACAGACAATGTTACAGTCAACAGACAATGTTACAGTCAACAGACAATGTTACAGTCAACAGACAATGTTACAGTCAACAGACAATGTTATGGTCAACAGACAATGTTACAGTCAACAGACAATGTTACAGTCAACAGACAATGTTACAGTCAACAGACAATGTTACAGTCAACAGACAATGTTACAGTCAACAGACAATGGTACAGTCAACAGACAATGGCACAGTCAACAGACAATGTTACAGTCAACAGACAATGTTACAGTCAAAAGACAATGTTACAGTCAACAGACAATGTTACAGACAATGTTACAGTCAACAGACAATGTTACAGTCAACAGGCAATGTTACAGTCAACAGACAATGTTACAGTCAACAGACAATGTTACAGTCAACAGAAAATGTTACAATCAACAGACAATGTTACAGTCAACAGACAATGGTACAGTCAACAGACAATGTTACAGTCAACAGACAATGTTACAGTCAACAGACAATGTTACAGTCAACAGACAATGTTACAGTCAACAGACAATGTTACAGTCAATAGACAATGTTACGGTCAACAGACAATGTTACAGTCAACAGACAATGTTACTTGACCGTATGCTCTAACCTTTCTTGATGATGACCAGAGCTGATCTCAACAATAAAATGAGGTCTGATAGAGCCGCTGACATGAAGGTCAAGCTTTTTGCCTGGCCAGGACCACTGATGATCACTTTGACATCCTCCAGCACAGTGAGGTTGAACTCTTTTGATACACCTTCAGATTTCTTGCCACTCTGTAATGAAAAAGTTCCAACAAGTGCATTTTCTAAAGTGTATGATAGTTATAAGGCAAAAATAGAGGAGAAGCAGACAGATAATCCCTAAACAGGCACTGAAATGAGAAACAAATGGACTAAGGAAATTAGGATGTCCAAGAGAAACCCTAAGATAAATGTAGCTGAGAGAGGCCAAAAGTGCTGGAACAACAGGAAGAAGGTGATGATGAAAGTGAATAATAAAGGAAATAACATGTATTGATGAGCACTCACAGAAAGAAGCAGGGAGAGGAGGACACAACAGAGACATGAAAAGATATCGCAGTAGAATCAGCCAGTTTCACAATACCACAATCACAGCAGCTAAAAAGGCTTCACAAACGCAAGACATGAACAGACAATGTTACAATCAAAACAAGAAACATGACTGGTCAGTTTCACTGTGTAGCATCTAAACTGAGGGAAATACATAAGATGTGGTTTTAAAAGAGGCATGTAACAGAAGAAGACTTTCCTGCACAGTTACACAGTAACATATCATGCATGTCATAAGGGGCTAATATGGGGGTTGATGTTTGACTGGTTACCTGAACTCTTTCAAATCTTAAGCGCAAAATACAACCAATCATAATCATAGTTACAAAGAACTTGGTGTGAGCTGGCTAAGGACCTATCCTTTGCAAAATTTAAGGCAGAAGAAGAAGAAGGAGATTGCAAGGTGATTTTTGTGTGTGTGCTACTGAGGCTGTCAGAATATATATACATACTTATATATATAAGTAACAAAAAGAACTGAACAAACATTACATCTTCTAATATTTTAAACTATTTTTGTGTGTGTATGAGGTGTTTAGAGGGAAGGGTGTGTGTGGAATCAGTCCTGCAATTGTTATAAGAATGTCTTACCAACTTGAGGCTAAAGGTTGAATCCACATGTTTCTTTTTTTTTTTTTAATGAGTAAATCTCTGAAGTAGGCTTAGCCTCATAAAGAAAAAAGTACATGATAACTGTCAGATAGTAAGGCAGGATGCAGGTCATCCTTCCCTAACCCTATCGTCCCGAGAAGAGAAGGCTAAATGTAGTCACTTGTGGTTGCTGACACAGCCCCGTAAATGGTGACATATCGTCATTTCTACAGTGACCTGTTCATGAAAAGCTTAGTTAAATCTACTGGTTTAATGTGCCCCTGTGTGGTGTTTAGGAGGTGTGGATGTGTTTATATTACCTATACATAGCATTCAGAAAAGTTTTCCTGTGAATCCAATACATTTTTTAAAAGCCAGGCTGATGTAAGCCACAGTGATAGGCCAGGCTGATGTAAGCCTCAGTGATAGAGGTCACAGCATGAGTCACCCAATACATATTTGTTTTCCATATAATTCTTTCTCTGTTACTTTTACTGACTACTCTCTTTATATATCCCCCCCCCCCCCCCACCCCAATTTTTTTTAATCAATGTAGATAAATAATTTAAAAAAAAAAAAATTATTTAACAGTTACCTGTGCTGCTAAGGGTCCCAGGTCCCATTGTAGGGAAAACAAGAATAGACTCACTGCCTCCCTAACAAGCATGTCGTAGGAGTCGATTAATTAGGGACATTCTTTGAAGGAGTACATCTGCCTAAAAGGCAAGTAACCACAAGTCTGCATACAAATAAGACAGATCTGTGAAACAGATGCCCATGCAGCACTCAGGTTCTCTAACAAGACTAAAGTCTGGAGGCGGACGAACAACCAGAGCTTTCTGCTGGAGTTTACAGCCAGTGAACGTAAAGAAGAAGAAGTTACCTGTGCAAAATATTTGTGTGTGTGTGTGTATGTGTGTGGGGAATTCCCACAGGTTTCATGACCCTTGTTTTCAGCATTCGTTGGATTAATACGCTGTGAAATAGTATATGCTAAGATCTAAAAATTACATACGTAAACTTACTAAACGATTAACTTTAAAAAGCTTAAACTTTGACAAACTTTTAAAACACTGTTTATGAAACCAATACAATACGAGCATTTGAAGGAAGTGATGTGTTATGAGTTGACTGAGAACCCAATAGTACATTTATAACCACCCACCTTACACACATCATCAAAAGCCTTTTGGATTGCATCGCCTGTGCTTCCACACCTATATTGATCCCGCAACACAGCAGATACATCAAGAAGATCCTAGAAATATTTTTTATGTGATGTCAAAAAGATAAGAAACATCTAGCCCTCTTTAAAAAAAAAATACACAAAAATATAGAGAAGCCGCAGTAGTATAATGGCTAGATGTTCGCCCACCAGCCAGAAAGTCTTAGGTTCGATTCCACTTCAGAACAGATTTTTTTCAAAATTGGCAGTGGCTAAAATGGGTTCCTGGCAAATATTCCAGGCACCAAAGGTAGCTGGCGCGATGTTGACTACATCCCTCACTGACTGCTGACTGTCTACAATTCTAGAATCAATTAAAAAGTGTACTGACCATCTTGTTCTAAAAGTCCATGCCATGTGGTACCGCTAGTCATGTCTATCCCCAACCTTCTGTCTTATGTACTTTCAATCAACTCTGACACAGATGATCTTCCATGCCATGATGCCAAACTGTCCATTATTTTTTCTCTCCATCTTCCTCTGCCTCTCTTCCGCTCCAACTTTCCTACAGTCACGATGTATTTCTCCTTCTCCTGATATGACAAAAAAATGTAGATTGTCTCCTTTTGATGTGGGCAATCAGTTCTCTTTGTCAGTCAGTTTCTTTCAAGACATCTTCATCACTCTTTTTATTTGTCCAGGGTATTCTCATCATCGTCTATAAAACCACATTTCTGCAGCTTCCAAATAATTTGTCACTAATCTACCAAGTGTCCATGATTTACCTCCGTATATTAGGGCAGGATTTATATAGCTTTAAAAAAATTATCTTTCTCGTCTCAAGTGACAAAGAAAGATTGCACGAAATAGCTTTCATTTTGTACAATGATGCCTTTGCTTTAGTTATTTTACATTAACCTATGTAATACATCTTCCATCTGTTATTATCAGGGAACCCAAGTTCTTAAACATACCAACCTGCCTGAGGATTGTCCCATTTACTTTGATGATGCATTTCAGAGAGACCATTTTTTTTTTGTAACTTATCATACAGGATATTTAATTCAGAAATTTGACAAAATACAACTGAAATTGTAAATAATTGTCTGGTTTCTTGGTAAATCCTCTGGAAGATTTAACTGGGCTTTTGTTTTGTTCTGGGCTATTGTTTCAAGTGAAACCACAAATATTTCAGTCAGGATGAATCACCCACTTCTACAAAAGCCCGAGGGACCTGTCACACAAATGATTTATTTTCTATGCATCCTAAATACAATGAAATAAGACGAAAACAAATAATATTAAACAAGACCTGACCATTAGAAAATAAGTTAAAGTCGAGAGGATCAGCTTCATTGCACCAGGTTTTTATCCCATATGGATTGGTCTCTCTCCTCAGAACGGCTAGCTGTCTACCGAGAGCGCGTGTACAGCACAAGCTCTGTAGTTCCGGCAAAGATCCCCAGGGATTTACATAAAAATTGCACTCCTGATTGAACCCACGACCTTCCGAGCGCCAGGCAATTAGCTTGACCACTTCGCCATGGAAGAAAAGAAAAGCTGGCTAATAAACAGCATCACACCTCGAAAACTTATTGGTAACATAAAATGCTGTAGCAGTTTAGAAAGAGTAATAACGGAAGGCACAGTTCTGGAAAAAACACAGTGAAGAGGGTCGATCAGCATGTAGGCTGACACAGGATTTTAGAGACACTCCTGGTATGAAAAAGTATGGAAGATTTGGCAGATGAGAATAACATTCAGCCAAGGAAATGATGAACATGATGATAATCATGAATTCCCCAACAACTTGGTGCTAGTAAAGCACACATCGGTTTGCTGTTGTTGTGAGCATTCACCAGATGGAAAATTCTGGTTAGAAGCCTGCATCTGTACGCTGATCTCATTCCTGAACTTGAATGTAGCGTGGGCATTCATTTTACACATCTGGCTTATTGTGTACAGACTGTTCCTAGCCTCTCTGGCAGATGGACTCCAACTCAGAACAAAACAGAGATCCTTTTTAAGTTTGTCTAAGCTTGTGGCAGGGAAACTCTTTCTATAATGACTAGTATGAGGCTTGGTCTTGGTGTACCTCTGCTGCATCCCATCAGCTTGCTCATTACTTCCCCGTGTGAGTTCTGGGACCCCATTTGGGGTCGGGTAAGAGGTACTGCTCCCCTAACAAGCATGTCATAAAAGCTGAGCCATTAGAGGTGTTCCTTTCCAAGTCGGAGTGCATTTTTCTAAGAAGTGAGGAACTGACACAGTTCATACAAATAAGCCAGATTTGTAAACTGGAAATGCATGCGTTTGGAACAAGATGGACAATGACAACTTTCTGCCACAGTTTACAGGCGGTGAATATAAAGAAAAAGAAGCTCACTACTGCAGACTCTCTTAAGACAGGAAGTAGATCTACCTAAGGTCTTGAAAAGCTATGGCCACATAGAAATAATAACTGAAACCATGGCCTCATCGTGTGGATATCAGGAAGCCAAGCACAGACTGAGGGACAACACAACTCCCATATCAGTCAAGCAAGTAAAGGACCCTTTCATGTTCCCTAACATGCGTTGGACTCACAGTGCAAAACCCTGGGTTTTTGTAGATCACCTGGCATTTAATCGGTGATGTGGTAAACATCATTTCAGCTGCCTTTGTATCCAAGAAAATCTTCTAGAATAAAGAACTTTCTGTCTTGACTGAGATTTAAACACATGACCAGTGTATTGGCAGGCAAGGGTGCAAACTAATGTGCTAGTGAGTCTCCTAAAAAGACAAAGTTAAACAGAAGTACAGGTCAAGAAGATAAAATATACTTACTTCATCTTATTTACATAGGAGACGGAATGAAACAGACAATAAACAAGAAGATGGTGGTTACTAAACTTTATAAAGTATTCAGTTCTCTTCTGAATAAAAACCTTACCTGAGTACTATCAACAGGGCATTCCATATGACAGCCATTGTGAATACGTGAAACAAAACAGTAGCCATATAAAATATTTATCAGATCAAACCTACATTCAACAGCAGGCTGTCCGCTCTGGAGAGAGAGAGAAAAAAAAAATGTTTAATGATGTTTAAAAAAACAAACATAATAAAGTTAGTTGCATTTCCTTTTGCATACTGCAAACCAGCCACAGCATTTATTGGCTGTTTTGTAGTTTTATCAGTTTCTTCTTCACTTATCCAAGGACGTAGATGTGGTGTGCCCATTACAACATGGTTCCAATATTTGCACTTTTTGGCCAAAACACCTGACTTCTGTAAGCATTTGTTGCCAGGCTGAGTTTCCCATAGTAGGCAGTTTTACATTCAACAGTTTGCCATTGCTTTCTGAGCGGTGACCCTCCACACCAAAGTGACCACAGCTGGAATGGAACAGAGTACTGTGGAAATGCAAACAGCATCTGTAATCTCTAAGCCAAAGAAGCCCACAAATCATAACACCAAACATCTTCACTGTCCTGTTATGCTATTATATTTCACACAGGGCTTGCGGTCTACTCCTCCAGCTCACTCTATCACATGCTATTAATTCAATATAATTGATGGAATCCAGTCCAGCGCCTTTGACCTATCTCATCCAGTTCATTTTAGGGTTTCTTTTGGGCAGCCTCACTTCCTCAATCTCATTATTTCCCATTTTAGTGCCTGTCTGGTGATTCTCTACTTGTTTCTTCCCAGGATGTGTCCAATACACTTTTAATGTCTTACTTCTGTTGTTGTGAGTGTTAGCTCATTCTAACAATGACATCTGTTTGTTCCCTAAATATTCATTATCATTATGTGTCACACCAAGTGTCTTTCCACAGATTTGTGCCCTTTTTGCTCGGTCAGTTTTATTGATGATATTCTTTCAAACCATCTACCCCAGACTTTCATATATTATTACTCTCCGTCACCTCTGCCTTTTCTGCTCCTGATCTCGCTTGTTGTCAAGATGTTCGCTAATCCCTGTCTGCTCACACAGTCAAAGAACACTATCTTATTGTTCTTAAGCCAGATCTGTAAAGCAGATGTGCACACAAAACTCAAGCTCTGGAACAAGACTAAAACTGGACAAACATTCAGACCTTTGCACCCTAGTTCACAGCTGATGAACACCAAGAAGAAGAAGAGTTACAAGTCAAAGGATTAGATCCATTCTTTTTCTAAAAGTATAATACATATTACCAATCTGAAGTGAACAAATAACAATCTCCAGACTCCATAAAAGACATCACAAGTTTAAATACTGTTTAAACATGGGAGATGCTGATGAACATAACCACGGCAGAGGTACATTCAAGGATAAACATTTTCCTCCGCAAGACTGTCCAAAATGAAGAACTGGTCCACACCTACTCCAATAAAGGAACAATTCTCTGGACCATAAACAACCTTGTTTACTGATGTTTTCTTTAATTATATTCAGGCTGATGTATGAAGGTGTATAAAGACAAATTATATAGAAGCCATCTTTAGTCAATAAGCCCAAAAAAAATAATTACTCTTTATGTGTGTTCACCCATATCGTAGTCGTTTACCATTAACAGAGCTTGAGGTCACTAATTTTTGCGGACAGCCAGCGTTCCAAAGTGCTCTGGTGTTGGCAGCCATGTATAATGTTTCAAAAGTAATGATAATGCTATCACTGAATAAGTTACCACAGCTAGGGCTTTATCAGGGTGACACTTCTCAACAACTTCTTGTGTTTTTGATCACAGTCAAAAGATTTTGCTAATCGTTCCAGCTTTCCTCTCTTCCCACTTCTGCTGCATGTAAAGGTGCAGAAGCTCTTGTGTTGTCAGCTCAGCTATATGATCGGCAAGCTCCAGTCATTCGGCTTCCAAGGCGACGCTTGAGTTTCAAAGCCAAATTTACCTGAAAATTTCACTCATATTCAAATCTGTTCTAGTTCTGAGGCGTTCACATTCTGAAATAACACTGTATTGGTTTTCATTTCTCAGCATCTCATTGACTGTTCTGGCTTCTGTTTGAACAGTCTCCCCGTTCTTAACAATCTGAGTGAAAAAATTAGCTAGTTTTTAAATGTTAACATAGTATCTTCTTCTTCGCGTTCACCGGCTGCTAACTCTGGTGGAGTTCTGGTTGTTCGTTCACTTCTGGACTAATCTATATCCAGATCCTGAGTTTTGTGTACACATCCGTTTTACAGATCTGCTATATTCATATTCAGACTGTTGGTTCTCACCTCTCTGGCAGATGTTCACTGATTTAGAAGAAAACGTCCCTAATTAGTCAACTCTCGTGACACGAGATACAAAATCTGTCAGGTGACGGTGATCTATTCCTTTTTCCTCCATAACAGAGCCCCTGAAACCACACAGAGATACAAAGAATCAAATGTCCTCTAGTTTGAATGAATACAGCAACCTTTAGAAGTGTGCTGATGTCTGGTATGTCTTCCAAAATATCTGGCATTCTTCTGGTTCCCTCACAAAGACCAGCAACTCTTTCTTGCTCTTTTACTAGCTTGTGATTTTCCTGTAAGTAAGGGAAAAGCAATGATAACGAGAACAGAAACTGGCAAGGCATATATATACATTTAAAGATAATGTTAGATTAATTGCTACAAAAAGTATCTATTTGTATGAATTAAAATGAATTTATATGCAATAAAGAAAGGTTAAAAGTTAAAAGTCAAGAGGACCGACTTCACTACACCAGGATTTCTCCCATCTTGGTCGGTCTCTTTCAACAGAAGGGCTAGCTGCCTGCTGAAGTCGCCACAGCTCTGGCTACGATCCCCAGGGATCTTTGCAAAAACTTCACTCATGAACTTAATAATGCAGCTGTGAAACAAACCCCACTACTTTTAGAGCGCGAGGTAAACGGCTTGACCACTTTGCCACGGAGACCCGTGAAGACGGCTGGAAATATATAAGGAAGTATAATTTCTCTAACAGAAGTGTTATGCAATATTTACTATATTTCTCTGTTCAGCAATGTGCTGATTGTTCTGGGGTTGCATAAGAGTGAATATCAGCATATAAGCATCTTTATTATCAAAAGACTAAAAATAAAAAAGCAAACGTACACAAAAGGTCTGGATAATACATTTTCTCGACTGAAAGCAGCCTCAAATTGATTAGCGAAAAGACAACATTTCTGTTAACATTGCTGAAGGGTCCGAGATTTTAAAGAAAAAGAAGAAAAGCAATCACTTGTAGCCAAGAAGTTATAAAACGAGGAAAGGTGAGGGAGAGGAGATATATCAAAATAGCCCTTTAGAGACACAGTGCACTGTTTTTCATCATCATCACCATTAAGTGCTCTGCCAACTGATGTGGGCGATCATGCCTATCCACAACCTCCTATGTCCAACAGCACTCATCAACTCATGTGCTGAGGCCCTTTTATGCCATGACAAAAGGCTGTAAAGAATCTTGATTGAATCTTGAATCTCCATTGATTTCCTCTATCTCTCTTGCCACAAATCTTTCACAAATCAGTGGTCACAACATGTTCCTGTTTCCTTTTCTCACAGCATGGCCAAAAAATGATGAATTTCTCATTCTGTTGTTTTTCAATGTATTCATTTTTTTAAATTTCATATTTAACATTTAAAATAGTATCATTAATTCAAACAGTCTCATACTCTGGAGGTTGCAGGTTTATATTCCGACTGTGTTCGCCAGCCCAGAAATAAAAAATTTTCTCCAGAGATGAGTCCTGAAGATATAAATGTCAGGTTTTTGTGCAATGCTGTTGGCTGCCAGCCAGCCAAGAGACAAACTGAGCCATAATGTTGCAATGAAGCAGACTTCGCCGTTACAGATTTTGAATGGATCCAGGCCACTAGACCATGAGAGATAAAACAGCAGATATGGACTAGGACCCTTTCCACACCAGTGGTGTATGAGGCGTAATATGGAAAGAACAGACAATTTAGCAAAAACTGGATGCCCTTATGAGGAACATGAAACCCAGATTAAGGCAGCCAACAGAACCCACCCCAGTCCTGTAGGTTCCAATGACTGGCTTGGTATGGGTTTTACTTCCTATCCAGAACACAATCCTGAAGACCTAAAGAGCCCCCACATTTGAAAGCAACAGAGCATTGTATTTAAACTGAAAACCGGACATAGCAGGCTCTGTAGACATATGTACAAGAAATTCAAGACTAGGGACTGGTGCAGTAGGAAGATCACAGGTCTGGCCGGTTAGCGTTCTGGTGGAAACCAGGCTGTATGGATCAGTGGATAACGGATGTCAAAACACAGCCATCATAGAGGCACCTGAAAGCCAATGGCAAGGAGAATAAAAAGAAAAAGAACAAACCTTTTATATAATTCATCTACTTTAATATGGAAACAACTATGGTGAATCATGCTTTAAAAAATTCAGAAAATAGAGACAAAAATAATAGTAACAGTCATAATCTCACCTTACATCTCCACCAAGGAGTCCAGATTTCAATTAACCTGGCTAACCTGCCATCCTGCAACATGCGTGCAAAATCCTCTTTCTCCTTCTGGGTGAGCCGACTCCATACCAAATGGATATCTCTGTCTGAAAGACAGAATTAGACACCCAGGCTGTAAATGAGCATATCACACTTGTGGATGAATGCAGAAAAATAGGTAAAAAATGCTAACCAGCAACAAAATTGGGTACATATTTATTGGTAATAATTGCACACATATTATATTACATACAGAGGATATAAATGAAAAATGAGTAAACATACCCATATCCAAGCCATGAAGTCTGCGTTCAAGGTCATCCTCCTCCCCTGCAAGGGAAAGTAGATACAGTGAAATAATTTAGTAAAACATATTGTGTAATTATATATTTAGTGAAGTGACTTGCCACTGGGACAGTAGGGAAAATTGGAGGGGAAAAGAGGCACAGAGAAACACAGAGAGAAGATGATGGACATTTTGACATCATGGCATGGAAGATCATCTGTGTCAGAGCTGACATGACGACCAACGCCACCAACTTTAAGAAGAATATATATCTGGTCAGGGATGTAAGGATACAGCAGTGTAAGTGCTGGTGCATCAGGACCAGGATTCCTGCTGGTCAAGACCTGCCTACACCTCTGTGGAGTTATCCCAACTGGGGGCCTGGGCCACTATAGACAGGACTGACATTCCCTTCAAAGTTGGGATGCATCTGCTTGGGAGGCAAGGGATCAACAGTCTGCACGCACATAACCCTGATCTATCAAAGGGATGTGCCTGCAAAACTCAAGTCGTGCAACAAGACCAAAGCCAAGCTTCAGGATTTTGATGGGACTGACAAGTTTTCCCCTAGTTTTCAAATGAGACAGTGAATCACATTGTGTGTGATTTCCACTGGCACCGGAACAGAGTAGTTTTGGGATGACCCATCTACAGTGATGTCGAAAACTTGAGTAATGACTAAATTATATACTTTATAGGGAGAGAGCGTGGGAGGGCGAAACCATGGATAGGCAAATAAATACTTCTATGGCATAGCCAGTCACCTTTACTTCCCAGAACATTTCCGGACACTTGACTAGGTTGACCTGAAAGCCCATACATTTTTTTTTATCGGCTCAAACGGGAATTTGAACCTATGACCTTTGTGACAGCAGGCAGGCACGTTAGTCCCTGCGTTACCATGGCCCTCCATTTATTCTACATAAGCATCTATTTTGAGAATTATTTTTTTTATGGCACAATTTTTTTTTTTCATTGACATGACAACCATTGTTTTTTTTTCAAACACATTTCAATTTCATCCACTGCTTAAGAACGAAGCACAGCTAGACTTATGCTTGTAATGATGTTAGTGATATGTCTATATTTCCTACGTATGGACACTTATGAGACACCCCTGTACTGTTTCTGGTTAGAGGAATGGTCGAGTGGTTTAGCTCATGGTAAAAAAAATTTGATATGGCAATTATCAGCACTGACCACTGTCAGAATCCTCTTCAGCTTTCTGTTCCAAATCTTCAGACAGCATCTTCAGAACTTTGTCTCGATCTTGTGATCTAAAGAAACAGAAAAAAAAAAGATCCTTTAGCAATAGTTTGAAGGCTGAAGCCTGACAAAACTTTCTTTTCACACAATCGGAACATGCCGACTTTCAAGTAAAAAGCATGAATACTTATTACAACAATGAAACTTTTGTCCAAAGAATTTTTTTTTTATAAATTAAAAAAACAAAAACCTGAAATGAAAGCAACACACCAAGAAACTTCAAATGTTATCTCAATGATCACATTTTACCATTTTTATGGCTATGATTCAGTCCGTCATACCTTATTTTTTTTTTTTTAACATTTACAACAACCTGTACTTCAACTTCATGAAAACTTGTGTCCGCTATTTTAAAATGTAACACTAATTAAAAGCTCTAAAAGAAAAGTTAGATACCGGAATTGCTCATTTGTTTTAGTTATCACAATTTTCTTTATGTCCTTCTTCACCTCACACGACCAAAGTCAATTTCTATGCAAACAATGTGTTACTTTCCTCTGCGTTTTCAGGAAAATCTCTACTTGTTGCTGTGGTTGTTCAAGCTATTCGCAACATTCATCACAGACATTACACCTCTGCTGTCTCAAGCCCTCACTGATTTGTTTATTCACATTCCAAGATTCACTGATAACCACTGGGACAAGTCTGACATTATATTTAGGTGCAATCTCATTCTGACATTCACTGAAAATATTTTACTACACATGTTAATTTAAAAAACCTTTTGGGTACAAATCACGCTTGTTGCCTCATCTCATTTAGCTGTACAATTTTGTAGCAGTTTCTATGGGCTGTCTTATGTTCTAGGGATGTCATGAGTTGCTTATTTGGAACGTTTCAAGTACATTCACCGCCAACGAGCGTAAAAATACAAAAACATGAATGATTCGAGACTCACGAATCATCGCAGTCATCTCCCCTGCAGTATTTTTTCTTAAATGTAATCACAACAACACATTCCAGAAACAACACTCATTCACAGAAAAGAGATGCAAAAAGAAAGCTGTGCAGTTTCGCCTGCGAGACAGTGTTCCGACCTCATCGAACAAACCTGAGTCACATTTCATCATGCTGTGTATAGACAGCGAAGAAAGACATCTCATAATACCCCTACAACATAGGACAGCCTGTTGGAACCGCTAAGAAACAAGGCAGCCAAAAGAGATAGGATGACAAACATGCATTGTACCATCTTTTAAAACATTTCCAAATTAAAACATTAAATTAACTCTTTGGTACCAATTTGTGTTTACTCTAACTCTATTTATTAGGAGAAGTTCAGCTAACGTAGCCAATGTTTGCATCCACAGTAGTTAATATAATAACACCATGGGGTAGGAAAAGTAAAACTAGCAACTTAAATAATGAGTTAATCTAACAACTATCTGTTTGATGAATTGGTATTGAAAGAGTTGATATAAAGCAAAGGATTCTTTTCAGGTCATAAGGCATCCAAGGCATATAGGGTTAGACCTATATTTTATAGACCAATCGACACTCAGCGAGTGACATGGTCAACATAATGCCAGCTGACTTTATCTGGTACCCATTTTAGGTTAGGTTTACTGGGAGCTAAATTCATTTTTTTTAAAGAATCTGGCTCACTGCTGATTTGAAGCTACAACCTTCCAGCCTGATGGTAGCATCTAACCTCTAAAACAGTGACAACTCCATACATAAAAATTTGGATTTTAAAAAAAAAAGTCTCACAGAAATATCAAGTACTAGACTTACGAAGTATTCATTTCCTTAAGTTCACTGATAACACACTCCTTGTAGAAGGCTTCTGAGCAAACAGCATGCTTCTCACTCTGGTAGCATGGTAAAGAGCAGTATCCCATATTGCAGCGAGGGCACGTGTACTTTGCTGTTTCTTTGAGACATCTGAAAATATTTAAAACGTAAATGTCACCATATTAGTGATTCCTTATAACAATTCAAACATGACAAGCCTGGCCAAGTTCCCAAAAAGCTATCATTAGTGCAGTCATATTCGTCATTTCTGAAATACTAAAAGGATTAAAATTAAATGAATACTTTAAAAAAAATTGAAGAGCAGTATTCTTCTTCTTCGATCTTTCTGACATAAAACTTACATCAGGAGGTCTGCAGCATTTATGAAAACTACCAGGCAGTCCATATCCTCTTGTGTACCATACAGCTTTGTCTTCATTGTGGTTGGAACAGGCCAGATTGTGTCTCTGTTATCAGCATACAGTTGACAGTGCTGGAGCACATGCTCAGCATTTTCGGGTGCCATGCTGCAGGGAAACGTCTCCGTGTTTCCTACATCAACAAATTTGAACATATGTTGTGCCCAGTCCTTAGTCTGAATATAATACACTGTCCCCTCTAGAGAGGCGATGAAGCGAATCTTAGGGAGAGAATCTGGTGTGTGTATCCAGCCACCTTTTTTGGAACAGCAGTATGATAATGTAGCCTTTCACAAAATCTAAGCTACTTTAATATTCTGTTTAGATGTTTTAACATGTACTTTCTTTCATAAATGCTTTATCTTCATATGTCAAGCAATTTACATGGCTTTCACATAAGACATCTAGACAGAAAAACTTTACAACTCAAAAACTACAAAAGCAGTATTTCCTTCACTGAGGGGGGAAAAAATGTCATTGCCCATCTTATGCATCTAGAGGAGCTTAACTCATTTAAAACCATTCAAATTGAAACACTCTATGTTTGGGTTCCGAAGCCTCATGGAGAGGGGAAGATGGGTCAGGGGATGGGAGGGAGGAGGTTGACGCACTACCACAAGCATGTTATAAAAGGTGACTAATTGTGAATTTGCTGAAATTAGATGTGATGGGTCAAAACATGCATATGTCGTAGCCTAGCTACAACACTATGTGCCAATTGCAGAAAGAAGACATAGCAAAATGTTTAGTCAATATTCAACATATAATAAACTTTTCATTCCATCTCTCCCAGGCAGTTAAAACTTCAACACCCCACACTTACTCTGTAATAAGATTTTGTACTGTTACTTCAATGTTATCAGCCTCAGATATTTCTTCTACTTTTTCTTCTCTGACTTTTATCTCCAGGTGGAGCACAGGCCTTAAATCAACCTCAGCCAAGCTCTCTGATATTATTATGACACATTTGCAGCTTCCTCTGTGTTCTTCCCACGTTAGGTTTCTATTACCAATTTGCATCTCCATTAGTTGGTATGTCTCCCTCCATTTATTTTTTTACCTGTGAGATGCAGAGGTAGGACTTTCTAGTTATACTATCAATAGGTTGCCTTATGCATTTAATGCATGCGTATGCTATTAGCTTTGCAGAGACTACCTCTGCGTCAATAGGGATTTCCAGTCAGTATGGCCGATAGGCAGCTTACCGTTTTTTAGTCGTCGCAGGTTTTTGCTTATGATATTAGTTAGCCATTGCGTTTTCCTACATATATAGACCTAAAGGATATAGTTCTGTTGCCAAGCTGCTAAACCAAGTGCATGGCATGACATTGTGAGCTGCAGATTTCCTCTGAAAAGCTTTTCAACTGTGCCCAATATGGCTTCTGTTGTGAACTGCAGATTCAGAAATAGCAAGTAGTCTGTTGCCAGAGATAACTGGTGGTGCCTTAAGTGTTTAACTGCATGTGCAACTGTGTTTCCATCGCTGATGAAAAGCACTTCTCGTGTTGGACTCTTTATGTTCGCAGTTCTAATTTAAGTATCAACATGCTTTATGCCTTTAATGAGATTTCAGTGTGTGTCAATTTTTGTAACAAGAGACGTATCAACATTTTGTGTGGTTTTTACTTGCACATAAACAGAGCAGCTATGGGGACTGGAATTGTGAAATTGCTACGGAAATGTGATTACCTTACTATCAACAGGTATTCTCACTGTGTGCCCTATCTAGTATAGGTACATCTAACGAACTCAGGCCCAGCACACTGTGCTGAGTAATGCAAGTCGGGCCCACTACACTGTAACTGGACGTTTAATCATGTGTCTTAACCTTTCAGGCGGATAAGTATAAGTCGCAGGGGTATCAGGTTGGTGCCCGTTGTATTGTGCTTACCGTCTTACCGGCGACCACATGTCCTCTATATTAGAGGATGTGAGCACCTTTAACGACCCCATGACATGTACAACTGGCCCTAACCCCAACCACTCCCTCCTACACCACACATTCAGCCTAGGTCCCAAGAGAGAGTGCATTCTATGCCCCGTGGTTAAACCTCTTAACATTTTGCGGTGGTCCACGGCTATCATATGTGCACGAGCAACCACTAACTCTGCTTACGAGTGAAAACGCAATGTCTGTGGCCGCATCTCACAGAACAACGATTAAAACAGAAACTTTCTGAAGACAACAGTACACCGGGACAACCCTCTAACGTAGACGAGCCTGAGCGAGTGCCACTGACAGGTCAGCTAGTGTGTAGCTGGGCCCGAGTTGGTGACTAGTAATCTTGTATATTTTTCTAATCTCTTGATCTGCTGAAATTTTAGTTCACTCTATTTAACTCCTCATTAGGGTCTATATGATATAGTTTAGTACTCTATGATACAGTTTAGTACCTCTATGATAGTTTATACCTCTATGATACAGCTGAATACCTCTGTAATAGTTTAGTACCTCTATCATACAGTTTAGTACCTCTATGATAGTTTATACCTCTATGATACAATTGAATACCTCTGTAATACAGTTTAGTACCTCTATGATAGTTTATACCTCTATGATACAACTGAATACCTCTGTAAAATAGTTTAGTACCTCTATGATACAGTTTAGTACCTCTATGATAGTTTATACCTCTATGATACAATTGAATACCTCTGTAAACAACTTAGTACCTCTATGATAGTTTATACCTCTATGATACAGCTGAATACCTCTTTAATACAGTTTAGTACCTCTATGATACAGTTTAGTTCCTGTATGATACAGTTAAGTATTTCTATGATACAGTTTAGTACCTCTATGATACAGTTTAGGGCTTTTCTTCGAATAATGGTCCCAAATTATGGAGGCCGAAAATATACCCTAACAGAGCCTCAGTCACATGTAAATTGCAGACCTCTTCCGTCGAGTTACCAGTCATTGCCGAGAGTATCTCCCGCGCCACCCGTAGCGGCGCTACGCATGCCTGGAGTGGGGCTAAACTAGATGGCTGGGACTCACAAGCAAATAAAATGAAGGAAGCTGCAGGAGATGCGGTAGCTGCTGCTCGAGAGTTCTAGCCATCTACTAGATGATCTAGTTTAGCCCCAGTCCAGGCCACGCATCGCGGCGTGAGAGATACTCTTGACGGTGGCGGAAGTCCGCAATTTACATGTGACTGAGGACCTGTTAGGGTATATTTTGGTTCTCCTTGCAATAACGGCCGCTACTAGGACGGCGATGGCCGCTTAGTCGGAGTTCAGTCCCCTGGCTGCAGTGCAATTACGGAGTGGACAAGGCACGAATAACACAACAAATTGAGTTCAACATTAACCCTAACCCAAACCCTAATTATGTCATTTGTTTCGTTTCCTCTTTTCCACTCCGTAATTGCACTGCAGCCAGGGGACTGAACTTCGACGAAGCGGCCGTCGCCGTCCAACTAGCGACCGTTATTGCAAGGAGAGCCTATATTTTCGGCCTTGATAATTTAGGACCATTATGCACAATTTATATTAATTCACAATCCAAACTAATTAGCGACTACGTTGTTCGGCAATTTGCAGTCTTTTGGCAATTTTCGTTACCATGGAAACAGTTCAAAACTTGTTTCGGAAATGTCGGCTGGAGTTTCGGGATGGGTCCTAATCTCTCATGAAATTTTGCAATTGGTGCGATTATCACCCACTATAAAAAGCTGAAAACGGCGGAAAAGAACCCGATTAACAGCGCATGTCTACGACAGCCGGATGTCCTCTGTTTTTCTGTTACATCAGTTTGATTAAAAATAGCGTTAAGTATTCGAGGTTGGCTTTAGGCTTTAACATTACTCATACTGGTAATGCTAGTTATAATTGAATTCTCCGTCCAATTTTACATTTGTATATAAAATTTCTTTCTTATCAGTGGCTTTTTAGATTTACAGTGACATTTTTCAGGCAATCGCTAATTATCATTAAGTATCATGGAGGAAAATAGCGGTAAATTCGAGGTTGGCTTTAGGCTTTAACATTACTCGTACTGGTAATGCTAGTTATAATTGAATTCTCCGTCCAATTTTACATTTGTAAATAAAATTTCTTTCTTATGAGTGGCTTTTTAAATTTACAGTGACATTTTTCAGGCAATCGGTATGTGGCTGTGTCTCATTGTCTGCCATCTTGTCCAATGACAGTCCAATGTCAACAAAGCCAAAACAGAAGTGCGCAGTTTGGTTGCGCAGAGAAACTTCTTGTTTCTGGGTCGCAAGTTTTCAACAGCTGTTTTTTACATCTCATCTCCATAAAAACCTACATATCTCAGCTCAAAAATGACATACAAGCCTAAATGAGGTACCATTGGAAAGAGATTGTTTACAGCTATCTAACTGTGGTTTTATTGGTGTAGAGGGCATTTTAAAATTTGACTAAAGTACCTAAACTAATTCTGGGCTATCTAGCGTGAGCGGCGTGGGGATACTCTCGGCGGTGACGGTAGTCGCCGGAAAACCGCAAATTAAGTCCCGGAATTGCGCAACTGACACGTGACTGAGGCTCTGTTAGGAAAGCCGCCAGCTTTTGTACCCGTTATTCGGAGGATAGCCAATTCTCTAGCGACTACGGTGTTCTGTTCGGCAATTGGCGGTCTTTTGGCAATTTCCGTTACCATAGAAACCGTTCGAAACTTGCTTCGCAAATGTCGGCTGGGGTTTCGGGATGGGTCCTAATCT